GAGTAAGATGCAATTCGCAAATGAGCTATTTAGCCAGGAATTCTCATTCCTAAGATAAGACACCTCCTTCCCCCGTAACTCCTTGAACTTACTGCTGTCTATATTCCACCCGTATGGTATCAGTTCTCTTTGTCGAAGGCCTGGCCCTAATTGCTTCCCAGCTGCAGACTCATAGTTCCTGACTTTAGACAGATCTTTTCCACCAGTGCCTGAAACTTAGCACACCCGAGACAGAATTGAGTATCTTCTAAAGGGGATTTCCATTCCCTTTCCAACTAGGGATCATCTGCTCAGTCCTCATTCCTGAAATCTAGAAACCCAATGCTAGGAAATGTATTGGTGTATAAAGCGGGTATCTTTGTATCCATTCCTTTTTTATTTCCAATGATTTTCTACTTTCCTCTGACCTAAAGGTCTTGCAGCTGACATCAGACTTCTAACCTCTCCCCTTCTCCCAACCCTTTCTCTCCACTATCAGATCATTTTTCTACCCAGGAACCTTGATGACTTTGATTGCCACGGTGTTGTCCAGTAGAAATAGACTATAAATAACACATTTAATTTTAAATTTTTTAGTAAGTACATGAAGAAAGAAAAATGAAATAGAGGCAGTTAATGTAAATTCATCATCTAAAAATGTCTACATATTCAGTAGCATATATTGATATACTAATACTAAATGCAAAGATATTTTACAAAATTTTTTTGTACTACATTTTCGGAATCCAATATGTATTTCACATTTAACACCCTATCTTTTTCCAAACTAGCCATATTTCAAACTCAGTATCCCATGAGGCTAGCAGGTCCCCTATTGGACAGTACAAGGCCACAGCATACAGTTTCAAGTTCTTGGACTGCAATTCTGAACACTCCACACTTCAGCTCCTGTCCTGTGTGTTTTAAGTTTTCTTCACTCACCCAAGCCCCAGCCTCACCTAGTTGTCTGCCGTTCTTTTCCTGTCATTACTCTTCCCTGCCTTGGAAATCTGACTTAACTTCTGAAACCTAACCTGAAAGTGCCTTCCTGAGTGAAGGCTTGCTCCACTCTCACAGTACCCCAGAGGCATTTACCAGCCACTCACTCTTAACCCTCTTGCATTTATGGGAGCCATTCGTGTAGCTCCTGTGTGAGTGCGCATTCTAACTGTTGAAAGGTCAGCTCCTCAGAGTCACAACTTGTCCCCTTCAACCTTCTCTGTTTCCTAGTGTTCTGTGTGGCCTCCATTTGCATTAGGGATGACCTTGTCCTTTGCTGTTTGATATATTTGGGAGCTCAAGCAAGAAAATCTCTCCTTTAATAGTTGTTTTCTTTACCTTTGAAATGCAATCTGAATGAAATTTCCCTTTATATCTAGATTAATTCTGCTGTTTTAAACAGTGTTCTCTCTGTCAATTGAAGCTTTTGCTTATGAAAAAGGAAATACTCATTTCCTCATAGAAATTACTGCCTAATATGAATTAAACTAGTTTCAAATGTACACATGTAGTAGATTATTCTGGTTTTAGCCTGATTCTAGCCCCAAATAAGACTCTTCCTATTATATAATTTGTTCTTTATAAGTAAATTATACGTGTTTATTAAGACCTTTTTCCCTATAGCTTTTTTGAAAAGTTTATATGCTTTTTGAATCTCCTTTTCCTCTAAAGAAATTTGGCCGATGTAACTTTGCTTGGGATCTTTTTCCCATGTAAAAGCAGACAGGTGCCTGAAAGGTTGTGCTCTATTCTGGGAGAAATCTGATTAATGTTGAAGGACTGTGTCAGGTCAGCCTCTGTAAGCTGCTGACAGATTATTCAGTGAGCGCCAGGATTGACTGTCAGCACTATCTCAGATTTTAATGGTTTTCTTGTGAAGGGCATTTATAGATGAAATTAGTTTATATTTAAAGTTTGTGACTCTTGGATTAGAGGCCAGCTAAGAAGATATTCTTCCCTTGAGGAGGCAGTAGTTTGCAAAGAATGAATGATTAATCAGATGGAGTTGTAAAGATTATAACTGTGTTTTGTGTTTTAACCCACATTGTTGCATTTTGAATTATGCAAAATCTTACTCAAGAAATTCCTACTGAACAATCCTCAGTTCTCTTAAGAATTTCCTCACAACTCCCTGAAAAAAAAACAGAGATAAATACTTCTTCCTAAAAGGGTAGATCTGTCATCCTTATGCTTTTCTTTCCTCCACCACTGCTGTTCCCACACACAGGATACTTGGTGAAAGCTTTTGCTTCACGATCCCAAATCCCTGTGATAGCGGCTACCAATTCTTGCTGAGCCACCGAGACAAACTCTCAGCTCATCCTCTCCTTCTGAAAGGCTCTTGCTGTCCACACAGCAAGTTGAAGGATATTTTTTTTTTGTAATCATCATCATTATTTAAAATGTACAATGGGGCCTCCCCGGTGGCGCAGCAGTTGAGCGCTGGGTTGCGAAGATGCCTGCAGCCTCTGCAGCGCCGGTTCGATCCCCGGCTGCTCCCTGGCCACCAGAGGAGGGTCCCACATGGCGCGCCGACCTCTCCTGCCGCCCGCTGCTCCCCTCAGCAGTGTACTTTGTCAGTCTGCCTGTTCTGTTCCCCGCTCTGGCTCTGGTGAATTCTCTCACCCTCCCGTGCTTCTGACTGTACCCAGTGCTTGTATAAATAAATAAATAAATCTTTTAAAAAAAATAAATAAATAAAATAAAATGTACAATGAAAAATTTCAAATATATCTCAAATTAGAAAGATGACTGTACCATTCATTGAACTTCAATTTTCCATTCATAAGCCAATCTTGTTTCATCTACTATTCCATCAACCTCCCCTCCCCATTATTTCAAAACAAATCCCAGATATTATATCGTCTAATTGATTTAGATTTGCCCCAAAATGAAATTTTGGTTATTTGTTGGTCACAATAGGTAGGGAAGTGTCCCAGTAGTGATAACTGCCCTTCCAATTGTTTCCTCTTTTTAAAAAAAAAAAAAAAAATTATTTATTTACAGTCAGAAGCATGAGAGGGTGAGAGAATTCATCAGAGCCAGAGCAGGGAACAGAACAGGCAGAGTGATGAAATACACTGCTGAGGGGAGGGTGGCAGGAGAGGTCTCTCACACCATGTGGGACCCTCGCCAGTGGCCAGGGATGGAACCAGCACTGCAGAGGCTGCGGGCAGCTTCGCAGCCCAGCGCTCAACTGCTGCACCACCAGGGGAAGCCCCTCAGTTGATTCCTCTTAATGTTTTCAGGGGGTATTCCATTTTTGTATGATAAGTGCCATCACCAGAAAAAGAGTATAATGTGCCCTTTTTACATAAAGCCAGTTTTTCATGTATAGGCATTCTCATACTTTTACACCAAATACATTCTTTAAAAATGTTTAGAAAAGTTGAATGTACGAAAAACACAAAGTGTATGGGGAGGATGCTTCCAGCTCAGAAAGCCTTAAGACTTAATAAAATCCCTAATATTTTATTATAAAATCAGTACACACTCATAATGAAAACAAATTTAAACAATACAGAGTGGTGTGAAGTAAACTAAAATCTTCCTTTGGTTCATTGACTGCTTACAGTCCCTTATTTCTAAAACAAATGCTTTTTCTCAGAGGTTCCAGAATGGCTCCAGGAAGTTCATTTATGCTCATTTAAAGCTTTATCTGTAGGTGACATTTTTGTTCTCTTGGTTTATTTGAATATAAAAGACAATTGAAAATTGATTTTAGGGTCTCCCTGGTGGCGCAAGGGGTTGAGACGCAACCTGTGAAGCTATCCACAACCTCTGCAGCACGAGTTTGATCCCCAGCCGGCCAGGGAGCAACCCACATGGCGCAGGAGACCTCCTGACTCGCCCACTGCTCCCCTCAGCATTGTACTTGGGTCAATCTGCCTGTTCTGTTCCCCACTCTGTCTCTGGTGAATCCTCTCACCACCGCCCCACACACACCTCTGGCCTGTACCCCAACTCTTGTATGCATAAATAAATAAATCTTAAAAAAAAAGAAAATTGATTTTAATGTTGAAGAGAATGACTAAGTTGATCTTGGAAGGAGATGGAAATGGTATGATGTTGACCTTGGTATCTTACTTTCTTGAACACTAATTTCTTCCTGATAAAGAAGCCTATGCAGACTCTGAACTCATGAACACTTCTGTGCACCTGTGATAGTCTTGACGAGTACTTCCCAGTAGAAGAATTATGTGAACCACACATGTCATTTTAAATCTCATAACATAAATAGAAATTAAAAGTAAAAAGAAACAGGTGAAATTAATTTTTACAGTGTATTCTCTGTGGTATATTAGACTCAAAAAGTATTTCAACATGTAATCTATAAAGCAATGAGATTTTTGTTGTGTGTGTGTGTGTGTGTGTATACAAAAAAATTTTTTTTTCAAGATCCAGTGTGTGTTTTATATATAGAGCAAATCTCAGTTTGAACCCTCCCCATTCAGGTGTGCGGCTGTGTGTTGTATTGGCCAGTGCAGCCCTATACAGGATGGTGAGTCTGAGGGAAGAGGAAAGAAAATGGGATATGATCTTAATTTTGTTGTTTATTTCATAGTATTGGTCAGTATTTAGAGTTAAAAGTTTGCTGCTTTGTTATTCTTAATGATCTCCAGCTCTGGCAATCACTAACATAAGCACATGTGAACCAGTTTTCTTTTTTTCTTATACCAGCAAAGACTAATGACACACATACTTCTATACAAAGATGATAACCCTGATGAAAATGAACTCTTGGCTGGTAGGCAATGCCACCCTGTGGCAGCACACATACTTATTCATCAATATATTAAAGATCAGATTCCAAGTAAGAAGTTGGCTTAGAAGTATTCATGTGTGATACATGAAACTCATGCACATTTTATTTTGAATTTCAGGGTGTGTGTGTATATATGTGTGTGTGTGTGTGTGTGTGTGTGTGTGTGTGTGTGTGTATAAATTGACTGTTGGGAGTAAGAGTTCCTGAGAAGTTAGTATGAATGACCTTTACAAGTAATTTATTTTTTTTTTTAAAGGAGTTGCAGATGGTGTGGGAGGATGGAGAGACTATGGAGTTGATCCATCTCAATTCTCAGGGACTTTAATGCGAACTTGTGAACGGTTAGTAAAAGAAGGACGGTTTGTCCCAAGTAATCCCATTGGAATCCTCACCACAAGCTACTGTGAGTTGCTGCAGAATAAAGTACCTTTGCTGGGTAAGTAGATATCCTATGTATTTTCCTCACTAAAGAACACCAGGAACTGGTTGAAAAACAAAACCAAGAAAATCACTTACCAGCCCAGTTTTTTTCCTGGGGTCTTCTGTTAAGCATTGTTTGGTAGAGAAGCTGTGGACTATCCAGATACTTGATACTGCTTGGAGGGAATGTATTGATAAGTCAGTACCATCCACTTTAGGAAACAATTTGACATTGCAGTATAAAGTTAAGCGTGTACATAGGCATGCCCCAGCTGTCCAGCTTCCAGGTCTATCCCCCAGACTGGAGAAAGCTTAAGTGTAGCTTTGTCAAGAGACAGGAAGGTTGATAGTAACAGTGTTTATAAGAGCAGGAGAAAGGAACAACCTAAAAATCCATCAGTAGATGGCATTTGAAAAGGAATAATTTGAAAAGGAATGACTTAAAGCCGCCTGCAGCACTTAGAAACATGTTGAGGGAAAAGAGGACATTGCAGAACACACCTCAAAGTCTAACTCCATATATTTCAAGTTCAGAAACATAAAAACAAGTAAGCTGTACTGTTTAGAGATTTTAAAATACGATGAAAGAAAAGCAAATGGTTGTGTAATTCAGGATAATTTTTCTCTGAGGGAGGGAGAAAAGGGGTGGGGTCTGGCATCTAAAATGTATTTGCTTATCTGTGGGAAATTCAGCTTGGCAGTAGACACGCCATACTTCTACCCGTTAGTTCATTAGTCTGTGAAAGTGCATGGCACAAAATAGATCCCTGTTATGCTTGTATTAGAAAACTAATGATACCTAGCGTTTGTTTATTTGATATGCTAATGGCACATCCTTTGGCCAGGCTTCCACATACATTTTTTAACTGGCTTTCTGAGAACTTAGTCTTCTAAGCAGACTCTCAGAAAGGGTATTATTAACTGTTCTAATTGCCAGCATCATCTTGGTTACTAGAAGGCCTCCCTTCCTGTGACTTTCCACATTTAAAATCAGCCTCTCTTCAGTGTTAATGGAGATCTCCACATTGTAGAATTTTACCTTCAATTAAAATCCTCTGCAAGAAGAGGTTCTTTTCATCACACTGCCATCTTATACTTCTTTTTTTTTCTAATTGAAGCTTGTTTTCCTTCTAATTGAGGAGAAATCTTGTCTTGAGATTTCAATATACCACTTTTTCTTAACCCACTATTTCTTGGACATGTAATCGGGAGTGTGCCTGGCACAGTGAAACATCCTAGATTTTATTTCTGTCACCTCTTTGTCAGCTCACCACATGATTTTGGGCAATCCAAGGAACAACTTAAACAGCTTCATGCAATATCACACACGTGGAGAGGGAAGAATATTGCAGAATGCTGTGTAATAGTCTGACATCGGAGACTGTAGATCAGATTCCTGGCGCAGGACTGTTGCCTGTTCCCATGAGTGCTTTTGCCGACCCCTCCCCACCTTAGCTCCACACTCCCCCTCTTCCCTGGCCCACCACTGCATTTATTGTGACTTGGAATAACCAGTTGCAAAATAAAATTAACCTGACTTTGTAGCTTTGGTTCCCCCCCACCCCCATCCTTGCTTTCCTTCCTGTTTACTCTCATGTAACAGAGATCTTAATCAAATTTTAAGACCTCTTAGAGGTCTTCTTACGCTGAATTTAATACTTTTTTCTCTTAAAAGACAGATCGAAATAATCTTTCTTACCATTAACACATACACATATCTCTCTCACCTAATCTACACTTCTCAAATGTGTGACTAAACTCAAGCATATTTTGGCAATAACAAGCTGCTGAGTTTTTCTTAACCTCAGATATAATCAATAACTTTACAGAAGGGTACTCCTCTTTTTTGTTTGTTTTTTAAATCCAGCAATTACTAAAAACTCATAATTACGATATGAAGTGCAAACTGATAGCTATAACCACTTCATTTTTTGAGAATTTCTAGATCTGAGTTGACATCACAGGCTAATTGTTGTCATGTATTTCCTCAGAAACCCGTAAGCGGATTTAGGTCCTGTGAAGCCAACACATGTTAAGAATTTGAAGGGTCAATCCTAATAAGGTTATGCCTTTCTCTGTTTGCTGCACAAAAGGCTTAGTAGTAGTTTACAAAATGAAGGGCCGGGTAATAAAAATATTTCCATTTTAGCATGAGGAATTTGCCTGGATGTCTGTCTGGATTGGTCAGTCTTTCGAACATCCTGCACTGTTGTTCTTAGCATCTCTATTCTGATTATTCTTCCCCTGCTTTTCCTGCTCTAAACACATTCAAAGCACCAGTCTCCCAGTATTAGACTGTCAGGACCTTAGTCACGGGCACACAGTCAATAATTTTAATACAGGAGAGAAGAATACACTCCAAGCCCCCATGATTCTGTAAGACAGGGCTTGCCTCCGTTAGGACTGTTGTGCATTTTTAAGCTCAGTCACTCCTGAGGACCATTTTGATTCTGACTCAGCCAGTTACTGCCACAAGGGAAGCAAAATGATAGCCTGGGTTTGTCAGTGAGTTTTATGAGTCAACATGAGTCCTTCCTGCAGCAAAATTTCAGGGCTGTTATTCATCTGTCATTTTTTGTTCTCACTTAACCCCATCAACTTTTAAAGACCTGTTTCTATTCTGTTAATGATGAATGACTGTAGTTTTTGTGTGCCGAGATAGGAAGAGAGGGTAGTTGGTGATCTGAGCTCTAATAGAAGTGATGGAGCAGTTCATGTGAAGGCACTGCCAGTTAGTTACAGCACCTGTTTTTCGTCACTATTTAATGGATAGGGACTAGACAGCTGAGAGTTAGGGTTAGTGCCCGTGCTTATATTTTCAAAATTCAATTACTCGTCACACTAAGAAAATTGTTAACATTTTAGTGATTATGCTTCCAGATCTTTTATCTTTGTGTAGAATAATGGCAACAGGAATTGAATCTGTGTGTTTACCTGAGAGCCCGGTAAGGTAGATACCTAGATATCTCTAGTCCTCATTTTGTTAAGAAAAAACTGAGATAAAAGAGAATAAGTCAGAGTCACACGGCTAGAACATGATGGAGCACTGGATTTAGGACCTCTGGACCCACAGCTTGTGTTTTTGTTTCATTTTGCTTTTTAACTGTCAGCAGCTCATCCTTTTCCTAATATTGCTTTCTTTAAAAAAAAAAAACTATAGTTAATTTCACTCTTTTTGGTGACTAGTTCTTTTAATACCACTTTTTTAAAGGGAACTTTAATACTAGTTTGTAATCTACTTAAATTATCTTCCATTTTCAGATTTATGTCTTATCATTTGAGTGGTTATCAAATGGGTAATGCTTATTATAATATGTTATAAGTGTTTGCCATGATTTAACTAATATTATCTCCAACTCTGAGGTATTTATTCTTATCTTTATAGATGAGGAAAACGAGGCACAGAGAGGTTAAATAATTTGCCTCAGGTCACACAGCCAGAATTAGCAGGGAGGTTGATTGGAATCTGTTTTCTAAGAATTATGTTATAGTATACAGCTTTCCATTGAATGGCTGTACTGTAATTTATTTAACCAGTTCCTTAATGTCAGATATATAGGTGGTTTCTGTTTCTTCCTGATCTTAAACAATGTTTTTGTACATAAGTCTAAATAACCTCCAGTTATTTTCTTTGTATGAATTCTCACAATTGGAATTGCTAGATCAAAGGCTATGCACATTTTTCAGGGTTATGTTCTTTAGAAAGGTCTTTAGCATCACTCTCTCACATTCCCTACACTCTTGTCAACTCTGGGTTTTGACACTTACTAGCCTAGTAGGTGAAAGTTGCTAGTGAGATGATCATTTTTTCCCCTGTAGTTACAAATTATTTACATTTTATTTCTTGGTGAATCGCTTATTTTTCTGTTTCGCCTTTTTTTCTATAGGTATAGTTTTAAATGTTAGTACTTGAAAGTGGTCTTACTGATTGTGCCATCAGTCTTGTAGTCTGGGGAGGGCCTTTTGAGCTGTGTGTGCAGCAAAGGTACACAAATGCTCCTTGCTCTCTGGTTGGAATGCAGCCTCTTTGCTCTGTAACAGCCTCTTCCCTCGTGGAACAGGTTAATTCCACGAGCTACCTGTGATAATTGTTCTTATTACTTCATAGCGAGTCAGTCTCCAGTAAATGCTGTTCATGACCTCAACAGATGGAAATCTGATTTAAAATTTTAGTTATTGTGCCCTGTTAGTTTATGTCTTATTTATGTTAGTGAACTTGGTAAAGAAAGTTTCCTGCCTGTGACTAATGGGAATGTTAAAGAAATGTAACATTCTCATTCTGGCATTTAAATATTAAAATGTAATGTCTCAGCAGCACACTTTCAAGCATTTGGCATAGGTTATAGCAGTATTGAAAGAAAATACTGTGGTTAAGTATCAGCCATTTAAAATGTTTTCTGGGCCTCCCCTGGTGGCTCAGGTGGTTGAGCGCAGCGCTGTGAAGCTGTCTGCAGCCTCTGCAGCGCCGGTTTGATTCTGGCTGGCAAGGGTCCCACATGGCATGGCAAACCTCTCCTGTCTCGCCCGCTGCTCCTGTCAGCAGTGTATTTCAGTCAGTCTGACTGTTCTGTTCCCCGCTCTGTCTCTGGTGAATCCTCTCACCCTCCCGCAAATCTGGCCTGTACCCCAGTTCTTGTGTAAATAAATAAATAAAAATATATAAAATAATAATAGTAGTAAATAAATAAATAATAGAATGTTTTCTTTCTTGGCAAATGGTAGAATTCAATTATCTGTGTTCCATTTACAATATAAATTCCTTTTTTTTCCCCCCACCATGTTGGCTCTGATCGTGTCACTATTGACAGTGGGAGATATGGCACATTACCAATAAAGGTTCTCTTCAGGGAAAGGAGGTTCACATTATGACACGTTGCTCTTTGGGGTAATGTTATAAAAAAATGCATATGCAGAGGCAACCAGGAAGAAAAAATAAATGGAGATGACTTTTTGTTTCTAGGTAGCAGTACTGCCTGCATTGTGGTGCTGGACAGAACTAGCCATCGCTTACACACAGCCAACCTGGGCGATTCAGGCTTTCTGGTTGTTAGGGGCGGCGAAGTTGTGCACCGGTCAGATGAGCAGCAGCATTACTTCAACACTCCATTCCAGCTCTCCATCGCACCACCTGAAGCTGAGGGAGTCATCTTGAGTGACAGGTAACCTCCCCTCTTGAACATGAAGTGTGATCAGGACTTACCCACAGATTCCCTTCTGTTCCCCCTTAACTAAAGTGGGGGTAGGCATTCTCCCTTTTCACGTGAGAAAAGACATACTAAAAATATTCTCATCAGGAGGACCTTTTAGTTTGAAAGATACTTTGCTCGAAAATGATATTGCAGCCAAGTTGAATTTGATAAATACCCAATGATTTGACAAGACTGAAAATACTATATCAAGCTTACATGATAATAGTTTTTCATACTAAGACTAAATGGTACATACAGTTTGTATTAAATTGTGCTGGAGAAATGAGTCATCATTCAGGCATGCCATTGTCTGTGTAAGACTTGGATACATTATTAGGGAAGAGTCCAGCAGACATCTGCTGGATTTATCAGAACAGCTTCCATTTCTTGAGAATGCATTCTGTTCTCAGGAATGATTTTGTTGAATGCAACAAGCAAAACTTGTAGTCCATGCAGAATCTGTCAGAGCAAAGTTAACTTGCAAGAAATGGAGTCAAAGGTGATCTTGGACATGATCTGTGATGATGCTGTGAGGTGTTCGCTTTTTCACTTTTTCAGTTCATCTTTAAATTGTCAAGGACCTTCCAAGTCTTATACTTTTTAAAATCAACTTTTTGAAATATGGAACGCTTCACGAATTTGCGTGTCATCCTTGCGCAGGGGCTATGCTAAATCTTCTCTGTATCATTCCAACTTTTTTAGTATATGTGCTGCTGAAGCGAACGCTAAAATCAACTTTTAAAGTTGATCTTTTCTAAGATCAGACTACAGAATAAGGTTAGACAGTCTCAGGTTGCACTGCCTTTCACAATCTTACAGGTCCTGGCAGAAACATAGTTGGCAATTCATAAATGTTAAGTGATCCTTTGTTTTTTGTTTTTTGTTTTTTTAAAGCAGCATTCTAACAAGTGCCTGTTGTCTCTGCTTAGTAATTATTAAGGCCTATCTTAAGTCCATGCTAAGGTAAATTGATTGTAACTGCCATCTTTTAAACTGCAGTGAACACATTATATATTCAGGTATTCAGTGTCATTGATCTAAAGTCCACCACCGAGTCCTAGGGAGAAGGAAGCACTTTCCACCTAAAGTAAGGCCGATTACCATAATTGGAAGAATATTTGATTATAGGCCCTTCTTCAGTTGCTGTAATACATAATATTAGCCATAACAGAGAAGGAAGAACCCAGAAGCCCAAGCTTGGTCAATACCAAGCTCAGCTAAGTTTTAGGAAAGCAGTGTGTTCACTTTCCTTTATTTGATTCTTGTTTTGGCTTCTAAGTGCCAGAGTGGCCCTGCCATATCTCACATGCTATCTTTGGGACAGTCCAGTCAGGGCAACATTCTGCCTGTCTGCCAGCTGCCAGCCAGTGAGGTGGAGATTGCTTCCCCTGGAGCCCAGAGACAGCTTGCTAGCATGTGATTTCAGCTCGTGTTTCAGTGCAGTCAAAAGTTTCCAGCAGCACAGTATGTTCACTCAAAATGGGCAAAACTGCAACTGGCAGAACACCAAGCTCATGGGTGGGAGTGTAGGGAGAAGAGGACAAACTGTCCAATGGCAGCAAGTCTCTCTCAGGCAGACTAACAGAGGACACTCCTGGGAAAAGAAAACCTTAGCATTAAACAGAGCTTCAGTGCCAACCTGCTCATTAATCTAAATTTCTATAATCCAAAGACTGAGCAAATGTGAAGTATCTTGTATTGTTTCTGTTTATTTCAGAGAAGACACCAACCTGTTTCCCACCAGTTTTGCAGTCTTTCTTCTATTTTACCCCCTTGCTGCATGTATCTCCTTAGTCTTTTTTTTTTTTAAAGATTTATTTATTTGTGCATGCAAGAGCTGGGGTACAGGCCAGAGATGCAGGAGGGTGAGAGGATTCACCAGAGACAGAGTGGGGAGCAGAACAGGCAGACTGACTGAAATAGACTGCTGAGGGGAGCAGCGGGGTGAGTCAGGAGAGGTCTGATGTGCCATGTGGGTTGCTCCCTGGCCAGCAGGGGATTGAACTGGTGCTGCAGAGGCTGCGGACTGCTTCATAGTGTGGTGCTTAACCCCCTGCACCACCAGGGAGGCCGAGGGGGGCCATTATTAACGCTTTGAATGTATGACCTTTTCTTTTCTCCCCATTTGGGGTTTATCCCCTTCAACAAGTGATGTCAAAGGAAAAAAATTTTCCGTCATCTTTGTAAAAGTTTTACCCAAAAGTTGTCATGACGTCTACCTTATCCCTACCCCAGCCATGCATTCTCTTCTCAGAGGTAGCCACTGCACTGCCATCTTTCTTTGCATCCTTCCAGATTTATATTCTACTATAGAAGGATCCCCACCTGTGGATCATCTTGCTTTCTTTATTAATATATCAGAGTGTCCCTTCCACCCCTCACCCTCCCCAGTTTGGAAGGTCAGTTACTCTGTTTCAGTGGCTGTTTCTTGAACATCTATTATTGCCAGACACACTAATAAATACCTCAGTATGACACTTTGTAAATCCTGAGGAACATATAGTCCTACCTCTGCCAGAGAAAGTACTACTTACTACTAGTGCTTACTAGTACTATAGTAAGATACACCACTGGGGGTATTTCATATGAATTCTTACAGGATTTGCATGCACTCCTCCATGGTGCTCAGTATTCCACACTAACAGCCTCCTGAAAAGGAGATTCAAGGCTGCGTGGGAAATGAGTAAGAGAGGATGGAATTTGGCTCTTAAAAAGTTAGGAAATAAATACTCATTTCCACTAGGATTTTAGAGGCATGTTAGTATTTGATTCAGGAAAGAATGCTTCCCCCTTTTAAATTACATATGACTAATCATCAAACTCAATTTTATTTGGTAGTTTTAATTAAACTTTTGAAATATTTTTACCAGAATTTTCCAATAATGTTTTCAAAGTTAGGAATTTTAGAATGATTGGTCTTTATTTTTGCCTCTGTTATTATAAATTAGCTTTTCTTAAAGCCTCATTTTATTGTAACTTGGATCCTATTAGAAACTTTCAATGGTATTTCTAAAGTGCTTTTTTCATTCTGCCCACTTTGTCCTTGCCATAGTCCTGATGCTGCTGATAGCACTTCTTTCGATGTCCAGCTAGGAGACATTATCCTGACAGCCACAGATGGGCTCTTTGACAACATGCCTGATTATATGATCCTTCAGGAGCTGAAAAAATTAAAGGTAATTCACTTCAAGGCCAACTCTTAGAAACAGTGGCCCTCTCTGGGCAGCTAAGTTTTATTAATTTGATTACATTCTCTCTTTTTGTAGTTTTAGAAAGGACTGTTTTGTGAATTTAGAAAAATAATAATAGTTCTTGTAAGCAATTGTAAACGCAAATATTTTGCATATTCTCGCAAATCAGGAGAGCTTGCAGGGAAAAGAGGCTTCTCATACAAGCCTTTAGTAGTGTGGTTAAGGCAGGAAAAGCTAAGATGAGGAAGCTGTGATTCCAGAGCCAGCCAAAGCAGCAGCAGAGGGCAGCCAGTGTCCAGGGGCCTTGATAGGACCTGAGCTGTCACGAGTAACAAAACAGTTCAGACTTGATCCAGACAAAGTAGAAGGAAGTGAAAACCAGTCTTTCCATATTCTCCTGGCTTTGTAAACGTACAAACTCCGCCACCAATTTTTTTCTCTTGTCTTTACCAGGACCCAGTATAACTTTGCACATATTTCTAAACTTTTAGAATAATAATTTCTATAAAATGGGGCGGGGAGGAAGTAGGGAGGGGGGAGGTCTACAAAAGGTCCTATTTTGTAAGGTTGCAGTGAGAATTAAGACCACAGCATAAAATCCTTAACTCTGTGCCTGACTGTGCTCTGTGTGGTGCCAGGGTGGTGAGCAGAAAGAACACATTCCCTGCCTGTGGGGGGCTCACATTCTAACAGAGGAAGACATATCACAGAGAGAAAAATAGATAATGATGGTGTAAATAAGAAAATTAAAGCAAGGTAAAGAGTAGTGGATAGAGAGGATGGCTGTTTTAGAAAGATGTGTCAAGGAAGACCTCTCTGTGGAAGTCACATTAAAACTTAAAATGGCAGCCTATTCTTATTTATTTATATTGAAACTGTTTCAAATCTTAGAATGTTGGAGCTAAAATAAACCTTGTTGCCATCCCCATTTTATAGATGAGGTAGTTGAAGCAGCAAGGATAAGGGTATGGCTCAAGGTTAAGGCTAAACAGGATTCTTTCATAATACAAAATTCTAAAGTTATTTTTAGTAGGGCCAGTGGCAGCTTTTACTGGGAAAGCAAACTATAGTTGGCCCCAGGTACATTCCCAAGCAAGAAAACCTCTGCAGTCATCCCAAAAGTGCTGTCAAAATCTATCTTTTTTTTTTTTTTTTTTTTTTTTTAGATTTTATTTATTTATTTAATTATTTATACAAGAACCAGGGTACAGGCCAGATGCGCGGGAGGGTGAGAGGATTCACCAGAGACAGAGCAGGGAATAGAACAGGCAGAACTAACGAAATATACCGCTGAGGGGAGCAGCGGGCGAGACAGGAGAGGTCTGCCGCACCATGTGGGACCCTCGCCGGCTGGCTGGGATCGAATCTGCGCTGCAGAGGCTGCGGACAGCTTCACAGCACTGTGCTCAACAGCCTGCACCAACAGGAGTGGCCCAAAATCTATCTTTTTTTATCCTATCCCATTTTAGCAAAAATACCTCAAGAATTTCAAATGGGAAAAAAAGCAAACCTGAAAATCTAAACTTTATGGCCTACAGCCACCCACTCAAAGGGTTTCTCTGATTGACATTTTATGCACACAGCATTGGTGGTCTTGTTCGTTCATTTTATCAAGATGAATTGTTTTAACGTCTTTAACTGGCATAAAACTTAAATGGTGGACACTGTGGTTAGATAAATATTAGCGTCTTAAAAAGTGATACTTGGAAGGAGTATGCTTGCATGCAGAAATCATGAGACATGGTGAAAATAACTCCTGCGTTCTTTCATCTTAGAATTCAAATTATGAGAGTATACAACAGACAGCAAGAAGCATTGCAGAGCAAGCTCATGAGTTGGCCTATGACCCAAATTATATGTCACCCTTTGCACAATTTGCATGTGACAACGGATTGAATGTGAGAGGTAAGCTTTCTTTTAGGACTAATTGGAGACAGAGTAGGATGGGCGTATTCTGGGCTATTGGTGAGGTACACTAGAGCCCTGGAGTGAGACTCTGAGGTGTCTTCTCCCGGCTGTGAGTCTGATGCTTTCAGCAAGGTCAGCAGGCCTTCGCACTGGAACAAGAGCATGTGCATGTCATCATGCCTTCCCCACAGAAATGCCCTTCAGAACTGAGTTTCGTTGCCTGCAAAGGCAGGCGAAATCTGAGCCATTTATTGCCACCACTGCACTGCCTGGACCTGAGCCCAAAAAGCCTCTGAGCTCTGCCTGGAAGGCCTGGACATTCTTAACAGTGTAACATTCTGCCCTTCACTGCTCTGACATTTCAGCTGTCCCTTCCTCTGACTTTTTGGGACTCATTGGCAGTATTTGCCTGCCAAATTGCCACAGCAGGTTTTGAAGAGAGAAGCTGTGTTAATCGTCCTTGCTCGAGTCCTTCTATCTGCTGAGGGCTGTATGACTTTGGGAACGTGCAAGTAGTTCACTCTTAGAGCAGGGAAAACATGTTGGTACCGGCAACTTAGAAGTAGTAGGGGTGGTAAGGTTTCCTACTGAAATGACATGGAAAGCATTTCTTAGCCCTCCAGGAAATGCGAAACTAGAGGGGGAAAGCACTTGCCATAGCTGTTTGGCAGATTAGAATACAAGACTAGTCCTAGCTCCAGACATTGAATATGTTTGTCCAAATTAGGACTGTGGGTAGAAGCATGTAACTTGCTCGTGAGGTCAATTTATCTAAACCAGATTTTGTCTTTACTGTGATTGCTTTGAACAGAGGATGTGGTGACTGTTTTAACAGCTCCAGTTGTAAACAGGGCCAACTTTGAAAAATACTTCAATTACATGTAATTTCTTGGTGTTTTTGTTTAACTGCTTCTCTTTACCAAATCATTTTTCCTTTTTTCTACTAGAGCATATTGACAAACCAAACTTGCCTGATGGCAAGCATTTGTCTTCTGGTACTTATTTTATTCAGGCTTACATTTCTTGATTGCCTTTTCCTTTTAAGATAATACAACTTCATTTTCATTTTAGGTGGAAAGCCTGATGACATCACCGTCCTTCTTTCAATAGTGGCTGAGTATACAGACTGACTCGCCCCAGTGTCAACTCCTGCCTTTCCTTTCATCACCCCAAACTCTCCCCTGCTGTGTGTGTTGATCCTGCTGGCAGGACCACATTTCTTTGCCACTGATCTCAATGGCCAGTGATGTAAGCCTTTTGCGTGTATTTTTGAAACCCCATTGAGATCTTTGTTGAGAACCACTACTATCATCCACTAGCTCATATCTGCCAGCAACATTTGAAGATGGACACAAGAGTTGAAGATTGGCCTTCGTTTCTCATTGTCCTATCCATGATGGAATGGAGGTTTTGAAAGCCAGAGTGGCTACTACTTTTCAAAAATGGGTCAAGAAATGAGAATGAGCAATGTTGGTAAGGTGAATTCAAAACTACAGTGTGTAAAAGGGATTTTTAAAAGTCATAACACAAATTGTATGTTGTGGTACATCTACTCAAAACATACATTATTCATCAAAGAAATGTTATACATGTACTATACAGTCTTTGTTACGATGATTGGGTGTGGCTTTGTGTTTTTATTATAAACTCCTATTTTTCAGGAGCTTATAATTCTGCTCTAAAATAACGCTCTGAGATTATGAAATCTTGATCCCAGGAGTTTTTTGGTTTTTTTGTTTTACAGATTGAAAGAAAAATTCAGTTTAGTTATATGGATGCAAATACTTCATGGTGGTTAAAAGATCTGTAATTGTGCTGATGAAAGTTTATCAATTAGTACAAATCATAGGCTGCTGGCTTGACCTGCAGGAGGGTTGGGGGAAGACTCCACCACAATTTTTTAACAGAAAGATTACTCAAGATTGTAAAACTCCTCAAAGCCTAGAAATTTAACATTCTGGCTGCAGTTCCTCCCAGCTGTCTGATATGATGCCCGCTGCGTGGGGGCCCTAGGCCTAAGGGCTCAGGTTAGGAATGGACGGCTGTCACTTTAAATTTCGTAAGACTTTCTCTGTCATGCTACTCCTAATCTCACCCTCAGACCTTTTATTAGTAGCCTTGCTTACTGCAGAGCATGCACCAAATTCAGGGAGTCCCGTGGAAGAGCACCATGGGCAGAGGCAGCAGCGCAAGAGTCCACGAGGAAAACTCCTAATGATGATCTGACATTTACCCTACACAGAAATTTAGGGGTTTTGAATCAAGCTTAATGTTTACAGTTTCCAAATAGCCATCTTGCAGTGTATAGTTTCCTTATAAAACTACCCTGCATCGTTTTCCCCCTATCTGTAAGCTCAAACTTATTTTTAAGGTTTGTGTACAAGTCAAGTGCTGTAAAGATATATATTTTTGGGTCAATTTTTTTTTCCCTTCATTAACTTGGTGGTAGAAAAGTATATACTTAGAAATCCTTAAATTAAAGCCATGTTTTATATATAAGTCAGGTAACATTGGTGTATAGATGAGAATGCAGTTAAACCTGAGGAGAATGTAGACAGTCTTTCTCTAAAGGAGATACTTACTCCCGGGTTTATTGCATTAAAACTTACGTTTGAGGTTACCTCAATTTGTTTTAAAAGATTTTGTTTTGTGGATTTGTACTGTATATTTGAGTAACTGTCAGGCTTTTGTTTTATTTAAAATTGTTTAACATGTACCATGTACATGTCATTACTATATTTCAATGCATCATGCTTGTAACAGGCATTTCATTTATAATAAGAATGATTTATTCATTTGTAAGCCGTTCAGTAATTTATCTACTATTCCTAAATTGGCATAATGTTAGATCTCTATTTTGAATCACCTTTAATCACATGTCAGAATGCCTTAACTACCCTAACTTGACAAAACGGAGTTCTTTGGTAGAGGAGACGGGCAGGGTGGGCGGGCTGGGAGGGGGGCCACTCTGTTTAAATAATGAGAACCCATCATGTTGTGATAAAACATGGAAGCGTGAGTGGCACGTGGCGGGGTATTTATTTTGCACAAACTATTTGCAGTCTCTCTGGTTAAAAAGTAAAGAACGTTGCATCCAGAAGGGTTTTGCTAGAAGGAGTACATTTATACTTGGGCTGACAACTTCAGTTCTTTCGTTTGGGTTTTTGATTATTTCTGGTCAGAGGTATGTATGTAGTTTTATGATCTGGATATAGTTTGCATTCATTTTCCAATGCCTACGTTTCATTCCTGGTAAGAGTAGTGCTGGTCAACTCACTTAACTTTCTTTGCTCTCAATGCATCAGACACAATCTTTGTAAAGTTAGATTGGTGGTGTTTCACCCAACTCGTTTTACCAACTTAGTCCTTTTTGAAAAATGATTATTAGAAATCCACAATGTGTTTGTTCAAGTGTTGTTGAAAATAGTGGGACAGGAATTGAGTTTTACAATGAAACCGACTTTGGGCCTGGCCGATAGCTTAGTGACACAAAATATCCTCCTATTTTCTTTATTCCCAGTCTTTCTGATGTTATGCACTTAGTGTTATCACCACCGGGGTCACTTGATGTGCTGCTTAACAAGTGATTCTCCTTCACTCTCAGTGGTCAGACCGTTGGACCCATACTGGAATTTTCCAGGTCACAGGACCCAAGTCTCTGTGGGGTGTGACTGAGATATACCACTTGGCAGGTCTGATTTTGAACTCAATATGTGTGTGTGAATTGTATTTTAAATTAAGCAGTATAAAAACACATACATTTGCCTCATGTCATGAACTTTTATAAGAAGAGAAAATTTGGATTTCTAATTTACAAATGGCAAATTAATTATCCCTCTCTGGATGCACCAAAGACCAGTAAAGTTTATAGCTTTTCCATCTATATTTATAAAGCAATACTGTATTATAAAAATCAATATTTTTATCACATGCTTGAAATTTTTATTTTGTTCTGTTTTAAAATGTGCACTCTAAACATATCAGAACCTTATTTCTTCCTGTGAACTTAAGCTGCCTGCGCACAAAAAAAAAAAAAAAAAAACATATACTGAATGAAGATGCAGTAGAGTCCATAGGCTCTTAAAAACTGAAAGCAGAAATGGGACAGGGGGACAAAACAGGTGATTTGTCCTGAATTACTGTACTGGCTTGACATGGTTGATGGGTACTAAATCAAAAAGAATCCATTCCAGGTGTGCACGGCTGAGGGTTGGGCTGCGTCTAGAGTAGAAACTAGATTTCAAGCTTTGCGTGATGGGAGAGTGTCTGGACTCTTCTGTCAGCTGCATTTGTTCTGGCTAGAACAGTAGCCTTCAGCACCACTATCAGTACCACTACCACATCAAGTAACAAGGCAGGAATTGTGGGAATTTACTGAGTCAGTTGTGGGTTTTGGAGACTGTAAACAGGATTGGGTAGAACTGTAAATGTTTGTACTTTTGAGTAAGTTCATGGTTCCTTGTCACCTTACACCAGCTATCTTTGGTAGAAGCTACAGCATCCAATTTCCCTGAAACTATCACGTTTTTGCATTTAACAAATTTCACAATGTTGAAAAACCAAAATCTGCTTATAAAATGGAAAACATGAAACAAAACATTTGGGTTCTATTTGTAAAAAGTAAAAATTTAAATTCCTTGCAGAATTGAACTTATACACTAAAATTCAACAGTGTCCATGTCAAAAATTTCACTGTTAGCAGGTAGTTTGTGGCAAAGATGGCTGAATAATGAAGCAAATTTGACTTCGTGTATACTAATGAGCTGCTTTTTTCTGTTGAGACTATCATTATTTGTCTTACCCAAGAGGCAATGACCTGAATTGGATGTCTGAATATAACTTATGCAGGAATAGTTCTGTAAATACATTTAAATAAACTGTAAAGATATTTAATAAATATAGTATTTATACTAATTTGTGTTTTCCTTTTAATTTGAAAAGTCACTAAATTCTTAGACCCCGGCCTTTGACATTGAGTTTGTTGGTCTATAGCAAGCCTTCACTTCTAAACACTTAGTCCAGCCTATTTTGTACTTTATAGCTCTCATTTTCTGTGTTTTACTAGTTTATCTGCCTTCGCTCTTTTTCTTCTGCTGGTTTAATACATCAGTTTATATATAGCATCCTCAAAAACTTGCACTGGCTAATTGAATGTAAAAGACATATTTGCCCAGCAAAAAGGGCTTTGCACCTTCCAAATGGCATGGAATGAAGTTACCAAAACCCTGGAGTCATTTAAACATAGCATTCTGTATCCAAATTATAAAATCCAAATTCTACGTTATTTAACAGAATAGCCATCTTTGACAGGTGAGTGGGGGCGTCCAGGCTTTTACTGATGGTGATGCCTTCATAGCCTAAGCACCTATGCCCATTTCACTGCCTCCACCAGAACTCTCAGCAAGGAGACTAGACTACAGTTACTCTTGTGTATAAATGTTCTCTGTGTAGTCATCTGCATGTGTTAGAAGTATGGAGAACTTAGTGATACCATCAATGTAAGCATAAGATACATAAATCTTTAGCCAACAGTGTGAAGACTTTTAAATTATGTGGGCATTGCCAGTTTCCACAAAAGCTTGCTGAAAGACCGTTTTCATTCACTGAAGAACATTTTGGGATGAACTTGAGTTTTTATTAGGTTATTGTGGGAAGCTCTGAGTCATCACTAAGCTACAAGAGCCAAATTCATTCTGGTTCTAGTTAGAACTCTTAATAGTTCTGAGGCTTACTAATCTACTCAGCCACCTTTGTTTATGAATTCCTCACGAAATCAAACGTACAGCTGTTCACAAGTTAACATTTCCTTGTGATTTAATGGTTTTATAAGGACCTAACAATGAAAAGTTACAGAAGTCTAGTTTGTCAGGTTTTAATTGACTGTAAACAGGCTTAGGTGAGGAAAGGCACCATTGTACGGTATTACATAACGCTGTTTTGTGCCAGATACTTTAGTCTGTTTGTGCAGGTAAAGAGATAATTCTTAAAGGGACAAAGCACATTCATCTTCCACTTCTGCCCAGGCTTTCTTGGCAGTGGAGGTGGCAGCTCTACATCAGATAGTACAGAAATAATTTTTTGGCATCACGCTCATTAAGACTTTCAAGCATCACACTGCAAATATAAAAACCACAATCGAAAATCGGAATAATTTAGGCTATGAAATAAAATTTTACGATCTGTAAAAGGATTTTAAAATGTGGGAGGGAGCTATGTATTTTTATTCTTGACCTTTTTTCAGGGCTCTTTCAAAAATCTTAAAATATGAACAACGATGCACAAAAAAAGCCATGACATTACGTGAAAAAGGTTGCATAAGTTCTTAGTATGTCTGAAAGCTCTAACCCGCAAATGTTTGCAATCAAATACCAAACCTACCTAGCCTCTAGTCACAAAACTACAAGCCATGTTGACGCACTCCCAGTGGCTACTGACGTTTACCTTTACAAAGCTGGCCAAGAAGAGGCTAAAGCTCTAGCATGAGTGCAGTGAGTTGAAGAATTCTAATGCGTTTTTTTTCCCTGTACAAATAACTCCTGCCTCCCGAGTAGCACAGTGGACTTTAAGCAAATTATGTACACTTGACAAGCAGCTCTTTTTAGACATGGTGGTTGTACAAGATGTTTTAAAACAGAAGCTCATTCTCCATTTCAAGCAATCCAAGACAATTTGTATCTATGTACTAAGTGTGAGATCATGTTTGAGGTACAACCACGCCAGCAAATGGGTTGAGAGCCAACTCGGCCAGCAGAGCGTTAGAATGTGGAGAAACCGCCATTATTCATGTCCTCATCACTGTCTCTTGCTGTGGTGAGACCGCCGAAAGGGTGGCCGCAGTGTTCTCGCTGGTCAGAAGAAATGGCTCCAAAGAACATGCAAGAAAACTGGGGAAAAGAATTAACTACCGAGAGTGAAGTGAGTGCTAGGTGCTCCGTTCTCCAGAACATTGTCCCTGTGACCTCCCTGTCTTCAGCGGTGGTTGGGCCCCCCTACAACAAAACCCTTCGCTGTCTTCAGGGGCGCGTTTGGGGTCAGTGATCTACTGACTCCCCTGCCTGGACCAGCAAAACGAACCCCAGGGCTACAGGAGACAAGGTGCAGGCTTCCGTCCACCTCCCCTGGACGACGGCAGCATCCTCCCGGCCTCTCTACGCTCCGCATTTCACAGCAGTCAACTGTCTCATGTTTAAAGTACGTAAAAAGCCTCATCCCGTTCTCTTGTCACTGCCTTACGCCTGCTGACAGCTGTCTACGCTTGTCTCCCATTTTCTTGTCTCCCATTTTCAGTTCCTCAGTCCTGACCCTCTTCTCCCCCGCCCCCCCCCACTCCACAGAAACTGTTCTTCGTTCAGTCACCAAAAGTTGCCATATCCTTAAGCCAATGACCGTGTTCATTCTTCATCCCGCTCGAAAGTGCCTCTCTTCCCGCACCTTCCTCGTGCCATGCTCGCCTGGCCGCTCTGAAACTGCCCAGCTGACTTGCTGTGGTGTCTCATCCTCAGTACTGCTGAGGTTTGGGGCCTGATAATTCTTTGTGGTGGGGTGTCCTGTGCATGTGGCATCCCAAAGAGTCTTAGGTCATTATCCAATGGCCCCTGCAGGGGGACATACTCGCCCCTGGCTGAGAGCCACTGCTTTAAATGGCCACTCCTGCGCGCCAGTCAAACCCCTAACTGAAATGAACCATCTCTGCGCCAGGAAGTCTGGAAGCTGAAATTTGGATTTCACTGCAGCCATCCTGCTGCTTGTTTTCTGCAACTTACACCCAAAACTGAACTTGAGGTCTTAGTGTGCACTGAGGCTGTTTCCTAGCCACGCCTAAGTCATCCTCCATACCTCTTCCCTTAGCCCTACACACCCGTCCATCACCATCGGCTACCCTGTTTGGGCTACTAGGTAGGTCCACTCCTAAGGCGTCACCATCCCCCAGATGCTACAACTGATCTTCCAGTCTTGCCTCACAACCCCCCATTCTTCACACAGTAGCTGCAGCTGAAGCTATCTTTTAAAAACGTCCTTCTCCCCCCATTTAAACTTCTCAAATAGGGTGAATGCTGAGGTGCTTTGCAAGGCCACGGATGCACTTCCAGGCTCGCTGGGCACGGTGAACACATGCTCTGGCTTCCCCCTGTGCACCTCTTCCCCCCACGCTCCCGGAGCAGGCTTTTCAGTTCCTTAAGGCCACCTGGCTCCCCCCACACCCATCACAAGGCCTCTGCACATGTGCCTAATGCCACCCACCTCCACTCCCTCATCCTCAGCTCAGCCCAAAGGCCAGTTTCCAAGAGAAGACACCTCTGGCCTGGATTAGGTCAGCTCACCTTAGTCCTCTTAAAGCACCCTGAACTTTTTTCCTTTAGTGAATGTATCACTTCTTTAAAAAATTATCACGTGTCTCTGTTTATGTCCATCTCCCCCCTACTATAAAATCAAGTTTAGGAGCCTCATAGATTCTGCTCACAGCGCTCCGCTCGCCTCTACGCCACGTGGCCCTCCACCACAGCGTGGGAGATGCTGTGTATGGTTTAGCACCTAAAATAAACAAATCAGTAAAATCTTCCATTTGGGGAGAACCAAAATGGAAGATGGGCATACAAAGCTCCAGTGTAACATGAGTAACAAAATCAAACTGAAATGTTAGGGAAGAAAAGACTAAGGAACTCTAAAATATAGCATTTTGTATATATGCTTTAGGGCTAAAGACAAAAAATAATATTCACAAATATTGAACCTCTGGTTAGCAGATTTGTTTTTTCAGGGGTATAAGTTAGCAATTCTGAAACTATGTGTTAGAACACATCCTACAGGACTGAACAATAAGCAAATATATTGTGGGTAATAAGAGCCAAGTTTCTCTTTGAAACACAGAAGGGATTATAAGTAATGAGAGTGGGGAGGCCTGCATGAACCCTACGGGGTTGAATTAGGATTGAAGGTGCCAGTGTGAATTAATGGTTGTGGGTGTGTGTGTGGATTTGTAGATGTATATGTATGTATGTAGACAAACTGACATGTGTATATGCCAATAAATGCCTGTATTTCCTACCTCTTCAGAGAGCTTAGAAACAATGAAATCCCAGTATAAAGAGCATACCTAGCTCCCAGGAGTTGACTCTGTTTACCATCTCCAATTGAAGGAACCAGGGTTCCTGGGAGAAATGGCTGGTTCTGTGGCTGGCACAAGAGAAATACAAGTTAAGACTAGTGCACTTGAAGGTTCCAAGAGTAAGGAAGTGTTCAAAAAATGTTGGAGACATGTCAAAGGAACATAGGCGCCAACCTGAAAAGGTTCCCAGCAACCTTAGGCAGTTTGAGCAACAAAATAAATGATAATAATGGGTTATAGCCAATATAACAAAATTAATATCCAAAAATATGTATTAACATAAATAATTGAATAACAAATAAATAGGAGAGAAGGAAAAATTCTTAACATGGTATTTCCTCTAATAAAAAGGAAAAAAAGTAAAATCATCATTTGACAAACATCACAGTAGTAAAACTATTTTAGATTTTAAAAGGTATCAATGGATGCTAAAATTAGTAAGCAAAAAGTGCGATGAGAAACAAAATATTTATATAGCCTCAAAGCATCTGCCACAAGACCCTCACTAATTACTAACAGAAAAACAGTAACTCTACAGTGGAGAGATGGAGCAAGCAGAGAAGTTAGAAAGAAGTAAAGACCACCAAGAAGGGGTCTCCCTGGTGGCGCAAGTTCACTCCCTTGCCATGGAACTGACCCACAAGGCATAGCAGACCTCTCCTGTCTTGCCCGCTGCTCCCCTCAGCAGTGTATCTCAGTAGACCCGCCTGTTCTGCTCCCCACTCTGTCTCTGGTGAATCCTCTCACCTCCACACCTCTGACCTATACCCTGTTCTTGGATGCATAAATAAAATAAATCTAAAAAAAAAGACCACCAAGGAGGAGACAAATCACCACGAGAGACAAGAAAGACAAAGCAGAAAAATGTTCCAGGCTGAAGGAGACACTGCTAGCCTATTGTGTTGACATAAGTGACTCTGGACAAAGGATTTTGGGGAATTCTTTATACCCTTTCTGCAAGTGAGTCTGAATTTATTTCAAATTTAAAAAATTAAAATTTGATGTGCGTGTGTTCTACTGTGTGCAAATGCATGCACAGAAATTTAAATTTAAAAGGTAGGAAAAAAACTTGTGGTGATTATTTCTGATCTTCTCTTATTGTTATTTTCCAATTTTTCTCCAGCGAATTGTACTGTTACATAAAATGTTAACATTAGGAGAATCTGAGAGAAGGGTATGTAGGAATTCTCTGTATGTTTTTGTAATTTTTTAAAATGACATTACTTTAGGATGAAAAGTTAAAATTAACAAATAAGTAAACAAACGGAGTAGGCTATATTACTATAAAAATTTTATAAGCACCGTAATGTCTGCCACGTTAGTCTGGTTCACAGATGCCATCCCGAGGGCACGGCTCATGCTGCTCATCAAGGAAAGATTCAGCTTCACAGTCACTCTCAACATGGCTTGCACAACCAGTAGTGCTACTAGAGAGGAGACTTCTCTGCCACTCCTGGCATAGAGTGCTTCGTCCAGGGAAAGAAGGGAGGCCGGGAGGAGGCCTGGTGAAGATTATATTAAATACCCCCGGGAAGTCCCTGAATGAGTAACCAACGGGAGCAGCAAAAATGCCCCAAGACTTTTCAAAGCTGGACAGTGATGTATAATAGTAACTAACATTTCATGAGCACTGACCATGTGCCAGCTCCGGGTATTAGTGCAATTTATTTTTACATTTCTATTTACTCACTGTTGCTATTACCCCTATTTTACTGATAAGGTAAAGGTAAGTAGCTTGTTCCAGTCACACAGCTACTAAGTAGCAGAACAGAGACTTGAGCCTCGGAATTTGAACTCCAAAGCCAGTGCTCTGAAGCCCCGTACCTCATTGTAGATGTAAGGTTTGCAGGAACTTTCCCCGTACACTGTGGAGAAGCAGGGCGGAGGCGCATGGAGGCATGGAGGCCAAGTGGGAGGCTCACTGTGGTTCAAGTAAAAGAGGTTAAGGGTCTAAATAATTTACCCATAATATAATTTCGGTTTTGTAGGAGTTTACCACAATAAGAAAAATAACTCCTTTTAAAAATAGAACTTTCTCTTTAGAACTTTGGTGGCATGATAGGAAATCTGTAGAAGAGCACTGCAAAGTGCTTGTGGAGCTTACAGTTCTTCATGCCCTCTTTCTGGGTGAGGACCTTGGTCCTCTTATGTAAAGTTTAGGGAGGGGAAACCACAAGAAAATGTTTTCATGTTGTTGCACAATATGTGTGACAGAAAAATCAGGAAGGGGAAATGTTTTTGTATAATGAAAAGACAGACTGCGGTTTTCACTTTATGGTCAAGCTAGTAACTAAGAAGAAGAGAAAATCCCCCTAAGTGCTGGGTACCGAACGGGACATCTATGAACTTACGCATCAGACTGAATGGTAAGTGGAAGCTACTATCCTAAAAGTCTTCATATGGCATGAGATAACGCCTAAAATTATTTCTCCTTTCAAATTTCTAATTCTAAGAAATTTATATTTCCAAACCAGTAATAACAGCATCAGTAAAATGTTGGTAATATAATGTATTGTTAACTAGAACTCTACTAAATAGGAATTTGTGATTTTACGGGGGATGAAATTTACATTTGTCCTAGTAGGAGTACAAGATTTCCCAAGCAAATTTGAAAAACAAGATTAGAAAATATGTTTGCATGTGGCTCTCCATGTTTCCCAGCACCGTTTATTTAAAAGGCTGCCTTTAAAAAAAATTAGAAAACATTTTATAGAACAAACTATATGATTTTAGTATATTATTTGTATTCAAAGATAAACTGTACTCTAAGCAATAATTTGTTGTTAAAAACAAGTGACCCAAATCTCTTCTTGAGTGTACTTTGTTAGGAATTACTAACTCAGCAATGTAATTATTTTATATTGACATTCTATAAGTCGGTCTCCACCTCAGACTGGCTTTACCTCTCCCCTCTGAGAACGTAAAGAAATTAATTTTCAGATATTGGGGGTGGGCTGGGGCAGCAAGGCTGCACGGGGAGGCAGGTGATGAGAATCCTTGGCTGAGAGGCGGTCAGGTCTCAACACTTTCCCATTACCTTCCTGAGGTAAGGAGAGCCCCGCACTCTCGCGGCCTCGCTGACGCTGCTTTCCATTGCTTCGCTCATGCCTCCCACTGCCCTTCTCATTACTGGGCTCCCACAGTTTGCCAGTGCGGGGATGTCTGGGCGTGTCTCGGCAGGATCGGTAGGATCGAGTCTTGTGGGTGTTGTTTTTCTTGAAATACTCTCTAGCAGGGCCTTGCTGGTTACGTTTTCACCAGTCTTTGAATCTGAACGTAGCAGATCAGCCCTGAAGTATTGATAGGGATTAAATGAATGAATTGTTGGCTTTGAAGTATACTCATTTTTTTGTCGTTTTAATATTATTAATATCATAATATAACCAATAACTTTATACTAAAACACCCTTAAACCAACACTGGATTAATAATACATATATCTTTTGTATAACTAACAGAGCAATGCAGGATGATGAATACACGGGCTTCAGGATTGTTTTGAAATAACATGGAACTAATTGTTGAAAATTAAGATTTAAGTATATGATTATTTAGAAATGCTCTCGACAGATTTAAGTTTTTCAGTAGACAAACTCATTGTGCATAAGACAGATTTATGATATGATAACAGTATCAAGTGAGGGAAAAAGTCAAGAAATTATATAAATCAGTAAGATTTGATGTAGTCATTAAATGTCATGTTTCTAGTCATAAGCAGTGCAACTGGCACATGTTCACAATATAAAATTTATGGAGAAAAGTGGGATATAAAACTACACATGCTTATGATTCTGATCTTGCTTTAAAATATAAGATGTGCAAAATTAAAAATCTGAAATGTTAGAGTTAAATGTTAATAGTGGCAATCTCTAGCTGATACAATTATGGGTGAGTTTTATTTTCTTCTTTGTACTTTTCTGCATTTTCCAAAGCATATTGTCCCCATAAAGTTGGGACAAAAAAAAAAAAAAAGGAAGGAAAAACAGTGCTACCCCCACAGCTGCTGAGAAAGGGTTCTAGCTAGTAAACCCAGACTTCCCTGTGAATCCTGGCATCATAGCACTCCTAAAAACAATTACTAAAGATGGACATGAGTTTGGGTAACAACTATGATAAACCACACAGTCCTGTTAAATTCTGAGCTTAAGAGAAAAAATAAATATCTAATGCAAGGTTGGCTATAGTCCTATGTTGTATACAATTAGGTCTTACAATAGCTCTTCCTGCTTCAGTCAAAATTTCTGATTTTCTTAAGTTTTACTCAATTGTTTCCTAAATGAATGCCACTGAATTATTTCAGAATAACATTATAATAACTTATTCCCAACCAATAAAGACATTAAAATATGGCCTTACCTTTTTCGCTTTTGTGAAAGACACAGCGATTGTGGAGAAGATGCTCTACTTGGCTCATCAGCTAAGGTAGCCAGAATAAAGTTAGCTTCCAGTAACATATCATCAATACTTAGAGCCATGGGTCTGAAAAAAGGCAGAGTCAAAACAAACATCACATTCATTTTCTGATGGACACTGGGAAAACAGTAGAAAATAATACTTAATTCAGGAGTAAAAACAAACATTAAAGGTTGAAGTCCTTTTTGTCTTTTCACAAATTAACACAGTTCTGAGTTGAAAGGCCCCAAGAAAGCATCAGGTCCAATTTCATAGACTATCTATCCTTACCCAATCTCATTTGAAATTTTAATTTTGAAGTATATAAAGTATCATAGTATTATAGAGATTTAACTTGTCTAAGCCATGTATAGTTTCCTAATTAGGCAATTTATTCAGTATCATGTCAAGTGTACAAATGCTTTCACTCTGTAGAAGAACAGATCTTTCTTAATGCAGTTATTAATTAAAAAATGCCATGTTATGGCATCTTTTAAAATTTTAGCCTGATAATTGCTACTAGTAATATCAAGAAATTCCTAAAGTTAGAATTAATTTCAAAGTGATCCAAAGACCTTATTATAATATATTAACAAAAGAAAAAGAAAATAGTCTCAGAAAGTTCCAAAGGACCTACTTCCCAGGAACGTCAAAATGAATAGATATAGGAGCATGTGTAGCTTCTGAAAATGTCAGCATTCCCTGAAAGAAGAAAAATACTTAAATGCTTATTTAAAAATAACAAGTAAAAATTTAATTTGACACAAACTTTTGTTTACCTTCAGTTCCTTAAAGCAAAATGTTATTTCAGTGTCAATTCCAATTTGAAAGATGTCGAACTCATCTGGGCCAACAAGCATCTCACTGTACACAGAATTGGTCAAATCTATTCATATTATAGGAAAATAAAGAATAAAATTAGTTCCAGAGGTATTTGTTATATTTTAATATAAAATTATAACCGTCAGTGGTAGATTAAAAATAGACACAAGTATTTTGACAATTTCATTGAGAGGTGAGGTCTGTTTATGTCCCCACCTTGAATCTGGGTGGGTAAGATCTCTGTTCTGACCAATACGGGCAGAACTGGTACTGGTTTCCGGGTCCAGGCCTTAAGAGGCTGGCAGCCTCCACTCTATCCTCTATACACTTCCATGATCCTACACAGTGACTCCTGGAACTCAACAACAATTTCTTGGATCTCTTAAAAATGTAAATGATCTTTCTACATCTTATTACATTTTATTTTATATTTTAAGACATTTATTTATGCATGCATAGAAGAACTAGGGTGTAGGCCAGAGGTGTGGAGGTGAGAGGATTTACCAGAGACAGAGTAGGGAGTGAAACAGGCGGATCCACTAAAATACACTACTAAGGGGAGCAGTGGGTAAGACAAGAGAGGTCTGCTGCGCCATGTGGGTCAGCTCTCTCAGGCCACAGTGGTGATAGCACTGAGACTTAATCCCTATGCCACGAGGGAGGCCCCTCTACTAAATTTTAGACAAGAATAAATATTATGCCATTAATATTTACTGAATGGTTAATAATCCAGAAAGCCAGAAAGTAATATTCCATCAAAACACAGTGGTAGATATAATCCTTACCCATTGATTCCTCATTAGAACTCTTAAGGCAAACATTTAGTGGAGTAACAGCTAGGGTAATTTCCTCTTGACTCGATGTAAAAAGAACAATTGCCTCAGCAAGCACTCTACAAAATGTAAAGAAAAATGATATATTGTTTTAAAAACAGAGAGAAAGGATATTTTCCACCTGTAAAAATCAAATCTTTCACCTGTTAAAAAAAAATGTTATTGGTGGAGAGTTAGGAAAATGTACGCAAAAAGACCTAGATGGACTGCCATATTTTCAGTATATTTTAAAAGTGTAGCCTCATTGACAGGTAAGAGAATAGTAAAGTACATTATTAGTAAACCATGTGAAAGCTACAGAATAAAATGTCTTTAGTTCTATGTTTTTATGCCAATATATTTTTTAAAAATTGGCCTGGGCTCATTTTTAAGGGAGATAACAGAAAACAGAGCTGGGGTAACCTTGAATTAGAACGAGGGTGAACACTCATAGAGACCCAGTGGAGGAAGGTAGAGGTTTCTAAGTAGCCACTTGCTTCTGTTCTCTTTCCCTCTGTTCCCACTAGAGTATTAGCTTCATTTTCAATGTTGTGTTGCCATCCTAAATGCCCTTTCATTCCAGGTTCCCTTTCCTAAGTCATCTTTATTGAGATGTAATTAATTATGACACAATTCACAGATTTGAAGTTGTTGATTGGCATTGCCCTAATGACCAATGATGTTGAGCATTTTTTCATGTGCTTAAGCCATGTATTTTTTCTAGGGAAACAAAGGTCTATTTAAATTATTTGTTCATTTTTTATTTAGGTTACTTGTCCTTTTATTATTGTATTATAAGTCTGGACTACTTTTGAAATTGAGGTGGTGTTAGATAAAAATGAGATTCTTAGAATTTTTGTGATGTTGGTGTTATCTTGATGCTAGACATCAGCTCAGTGTTTCTTGATGCCAAAATATCAGGAACACGACGAAATTCATCTGGAATTTTTCTGCTAAGGGGCAGGTTTTGTACAAGATACCAAATAGCCTGATATAAAAAAATTACAATATAAACGTGCAATTGAAAAAGGAGGAAAAATACACATTGCAATTAATATATGAAAAGATGCTCAAACTTCCTAATAATAAACACAATAAAGAAGATCTAACTATGCCATTTTCTACCTATCAGGCTGGGAAAAATTTTAAAGCTCAATCATATCCTTTACTTAGAAAGATTCTCCTAAGCTTTTGGTAGGAATGTAAATTGGCATGAACTTTCCAAACAATTTGTTGGTCAATATGCATGCAAATTTAATTTGTGTAAGTTTTAACTCAGCAATTTCATTTCTTTTTTTTTTAAATAATAAATTTTATTTTTATATTCCCCATACAGTTGCAACCCCCCCTTTCTGATCCCAATCCCTCCCCTCCCGCCCCCCACCCCCCCCAAAAGTGTCTCTGTTTCATAGTTTTTGTTGATTCTGATTTTCACTTTCTTATAGTTATTCATTTTCCTGGTCCCTTATTTAAGTTTTCTAGATTCCTGCTATGAGTGAGACCATCTGGTATTTTTCTTTTTCTTTCTGGCTTATTTCGCTGAGCATGATCCCTTCCAGCGCCATCCATGTTGCTGCAAATTGCATGTGTTTATCTTTTTTGAATGCTGAGTAATATTCCATGGTGTCTATGGACCACATCTTCTTGATCCAGTCATCTATTTTTGGGCATTTGGGCTGTTTCCAAAGCTTAGCTATTGTAAACAGTGCTGCTATAAACATAGGGGTGCAGGTGTTCTTTGGAATTGATGTTCCTGTGTCCTTTGGGTAGATACCTAGGAGTGGAATTGCTGGATCCTATGGAAGCTCTATGTTTAGTAGGTCCAGAAATCTCCACACAGCTCTCCATAGTGGTTGGACCAGTTTGCACTCCCACCAACAGTGCAGAAGAGTTCCTTTTTCTCCACACCCTCGCCAACATTTGTTGTTGCTAGTTTTTTTAATATGTGCCATTCTCACTGGTGTAAGATGGTATCTCATGGTAGTTTTGATTTGCATTTCCCTGATTACAAGTGATGTTGAACATTTTTTCATATGCCTGTTGGCCATTTGCATTTCCTCTTCAGAGAAGTTTCTTTTTAGCTCTTCTGCCCATTTTTTAACTGGATTATTTTCTTTGTTGTTGTTGAGTCTCATCAGCTCTTTGCAGATTTTTGTGATCAGTCCTTTATCATTAGTGTTGGGTGCAAAAATGTTCTCCCAGTTGGTGGGGTTTCTCTTTGTTTTTGTTATTGTCTCTTTTGCTGTGCAGAAGCTCTTTAATTTGATGTAGTCCCAGCTGTTTATCTTTGCCTTCACTATCACTGCTTTGGGTGATGTGTCTGTAAAGATGTCTTTGATGTGCAAATCACGTAGTGTTTCGCCTATGTTTCCTTCTATATATTTTATGGTTTCAGGTCTTATGTCTAGTTCTTTAATCCATTTTGAATTGATTTTCGTGTAGGGTGTGAGGTAGTGGTCAAGCTTCATTCTTTTGCATGTAGCGACCCAGTTTTCCCAGCACCATTTATTGAACAAACTTTCTTTGCTCCAATGCATGGTCTTTGCTCCTTTGTCAAAGATTAGTTGACCATAGATCTGTGGGTTTATTTCTGGATTTTCTATTCGATTCCATTGGTCTGTATGTCTGTTCTTGTTCCAATACCATGCAGTTTTGATGATTATGGCTTTGTAGTATAGTTTGAAGTCTGGGAGTGTGATGCCTCCATTCCCTTCTTTTTTTTTCAGGAGAGCTTTGGCTATTCGGGGTTTTTTGTGATTCCATATGAATTTCATCAATAATTGTTCTATTTCTTTGAAGAATGACATTGAAATTTTGATTGGAATAGCATTGAATCTGTATATTGCTTTTGGTAGGATGGCCATTTTAATAATGTTTATTCCTCCAATCCATGAGCAGGGGATGTCTTTCCATTTCTTTGTGTCTTCTTCTATTTCTTTTAACAAGCAATTTCATTTCTAAGACTTGTGTTGGGTAGCTTAGAAGATGGCAGCCAAGGATCCCCACCTCCTGAGAGTCATGCCCTCATGTTATCTCCTCCTCCTTATTTGGGGCTGGGCCTGGAGATTCACTTCTAACAAAAAGTGCAGAAGTGATGAGATGATGATTCAGAGACTGTCTTCCGCCTTGATGCATGGAGAGGGGGGCCACGGGGGGTGGTAACTAGCTACCATGTTGTGAGGATAATCAGACAGCAGAGAGTAGTGCTTCTCAGGAAATGAAACCTACCAGCAACCCCCGGCATAAGGTTGGAAGTGAATCTTCTGCAGCCTTCCACCAGCCATGTCAGTGAGCTTGCAAGTGAATTTCCCCAAGTCTAGCATTTAGATGAGATCACAGCCCTGGCTGACAGTTCAACTTCAAAATCAGAGACCACGAGCCAGAAGGCTCCATCTGAGCCATACTTATCACTATGAAGTAATACATGTCTTTTTCTTAAAACTCTGAATTTTGGGGAAATTTGTACCACAGCAGCAGATAACTAATATACTACCCTATGTACTACTGGGAACGTTGTTTGTGAGAGCCAAAGGTTGGGGGAAACCTACTTTTTCAATAATAGGATAAAAGGTAAATAAATTATGGTTCAGTCACACAATGAAAAACTATATAATCATTAAAAAGAATAATGACTTAAGTGAACTGACATAGAAATTTCAAAAAGCAAGTTGCCAAACAAGAATAGTGGCACATTTTCTTTGGAAAAAATGTGCTTAAGTAGGCATCTAATATGTGATATTAATGAGAGAGAGAGAGAGAGAAAGAGAGAGAGAGAGATCAAACAGTTAATAGATACTACCCATGCCAAGTGGAGGCATGGAAAGAGGGAAACAAACTTAATCATCTTCTTTACACTCCTCTGCACATTTTAGCCATATTGCAGGGAGCATGCATTGCTTTTGTAATTTAAAAATCTTTTTGTTTACAAAATAATGTTTAATGCTGTAGTTTAACTGAAAAATTGGGTGCATTTCCATGGATATATAAGCCTAAGTCATTCTCTAGAGAAAAAACAAAAACAAGACCACTTAGGGATAAAATCATTCCCTATTAGAAATGTTAAAATTTCTTTGTACTGTGTGTTTTAAGAGTCAGACAGAAGGCACTATATAAATGCAAAAAAAATTATAAAGTAGTCTGTTTTTTTCCTGGTATCACTTGCTGTAGAAATCCACTAATGGGATATTTTAGAATGTTCTTAGCCGCTGAATTATTATTGCTACCATAGGCAATTATCTACTATCACCTTTCTCAAGGTTTCAGCTTGACCCTATAAGGTAGTTTCTCCAAGTCAATGCTAGCTTTTAAAAAAAAAAGTTACTTATTTAAAAGTTCCGGGGCATTATTTTTTTCCTTTTTTGACCATCCTACAGTCAAAAAAAGAAAAATAGATAACAGAGAATCCATTACCTTGGTTGAATCATTAGTGTATTAGTGCACATGTTCTTTTCAAAAATAACTTGCAAAGGTTGACTTTCTTCAAAACACACATTATGAGTTCTTTTAATACCTTAAAAAGAGTAAAGCAACCTGTTAATAATTCTAAGTGCAAAATGAACAGATTTTAAAATCTTTAGGTTTCACAAACTAAATAATATTAAAGTAACGCCTGGCAGGTGCACGTTCCTTGGAGAAGCACTATCCTTAAAGAAATGTGTTTATTGCCCCCTAGTGGACATCATGCAATATGCCATGATGTCTGGAGTTCCTAGATTGTTGTGACATACATACACGTAATTACTTAAATCGTGTGTAAAATAGTGATTGCTCACTACAGATTACATATGTATGATTTTTCAATGATATCTCCAGATAGGACTTTTGAAATTAGACCTAAACATCTGGACCGTGAATTCTTTCTCTCTGGGTGGAGTAAAGTGTAGTAGCAGTGACACCTGTCGCCCCCTGTGCCAGGAACTGCAGTATACATTTTACAGACATTCCCCGAGGGCCTCACAACATCCACGATGTAGGTCCTTAATTTCAGAAAACTACAGCTCCATGAGGAAAGTAGAGCTGAGAGAGTTTTTAAAGAATATAGAAAAGAAGCAGCAGCTACTGCTGCCTGGATTAAACCATGCCTATGACCTAACGCTGAGCCTTTCATTTACATGAGCTTCTTTATTAAGTCAGTTTGCAATGGATTTTCTGGACCTTTTTTCTTCTACTTGCAATTTAAAACATCCTAGCACATTCAACTACCCTACAAAAGCTATTTAAAAAATCAACCACAGGGCCTCCCCGGTGGCGCAGCGGTTGAGCGCTGGGTTGCGAAGCTGCCCGCGACCTCTGCGGTGCCGGTTCGGTCCCCTGCTGCTCCCCGGCCACCAGAGGAGGGTCCCACATGGCGCGCAGGTCCCACATGGCGCGCAGACCTCTCCTGCCGCCCGCTGCTCCCCTCAGCAGTGTACTTCGGTCCTTCTGCCTGCTCTGCTCCCTGCTCTGGCTCTGGTGAATTCTCTCACCCTCCCGCGCTTCTGACTGTACTCAGTGCATGTATAAACAAAACAAAAAGCAAACAAATAAATAAATAAAAACATGCCTCTATAAAAAAAAATAATAAAAGAATTCAATAAAAAAAAAAATAAAAATAAAAAAAATAAAATAAAAAATCAACCACAAATAAATATTGGATACTAATCAAACCACTTGAGAGATACTTAAGAAAAGCTAGTTGTTTAAAATCTAGCTGGAATAAGGGATGAGGATAAGTGTAATCACTGCAAATTGCAGTCACCAGTGCTCCCCTGTGCCAGGACACTGTGATGTGCTTTACAGATGTGACCTCACCTCTTCACCACAACAGCCCTGGAATACAAGAGTAGTTATCCCATTTTACAGAGAAAAAAATGAAGTAAATATATATATTAAAATCTTAATAAAAGCATCAACATAACTGTAAAATAAAGTTGGGAAATATAAAATAAATTATACTAAGATAACCTTCTGTAAGACTATTCCACTACAAAAAAAAATGATTTAGACCAATATTCCAAGTACCACTGTCTATAAAGCATACAATTCTATTAACTTCAAATAAAATAACAGCAATCACATAAAAAATGTGCCAGGGATTCTTTTAAACATCTTAGAGCTATAACTTCCTAAAGTTCATTGAATCTTCATGAAAACACTAGGAGTCTGGGATTAAAACTATTCTCATTTTACATATTGAGAAACTGAGTCACAGAGATGTCAAATAATTTACTCAAGGTCTCAGCAAGGAAGAACTAGAGAGACTTCAGGGCCTATGCTGTTATCAACACACTGCACATATATAAACATGTAAAAGTTCTATGCATATGATATTTGAATATCTACCATGTTAGGCAGGAAATCTGTTTTACAACTTAGCGTAGCAGAGTGAATGAATGAAGGTTTTGAATCCTACTACTGTGGACTCAAATCCAGGTTTTGCAGTTTACCAGTTTTGTGACGTTAGGTTAATTACTACTCACTTTTAGGTCAGATATAATACAGTCTCCTACATGGCTTCCACTACAGGTAGGCATTCTTTTCTGTTCTTATCAAGGAGCATTTGTTGTTAAGTCAACATACACAAAGCACTTAGAGATTATTATCTCTCAAACAGTTTACCTTAGAACAATTAATTATTTGAATTGAAATGGATATTTAAAAAATGATCTGTATGCAGGCAAAGTTTGTGCCACTGAAAAGTCAAAAAAGGAAATAACACAATCACCTCATAATACTTCTACAGCAATAAAATACTGCTCAAGTAATTAGAACAGCTCAACCATGAAACTACACAAATTCTAAGCAACAATGCAATGAGAAGTCTTGACATGCAGCTGGAATATTCTAAATGTAAGAAACATTACATAAGAGTGTGGATTCTCCAGTTTTTAAGTGTTAAAAATTATTTCACCTTTTGGGCCTCCCTGGTGGCTCAGGAGGTTAAGACACAACCCTCGAGGCTGTTTGCAGCCACCACAGCACAAGTTCTATCCCCAGCCAGGGAGCTACCTGCATGGCACAGCAGACCTCTCCTGACTCGCCCACTGCTCCCCTCAGCAGAGTAAGACCTCTCCTGACTCGCTCGCTACTCCCTTCAGCAGTGTATTTCAGTCCGTCTGCCTGTTCTGTCCCCAACACTGTCTCTGGTGAATCCTCTCACCACCCCCAACACCTCTAGCTTGTACCTCAGTTATTGTATGCATAAATGAATAAATCTTTAAAAAATTATTTCACCCTTTAAAAACTAGTTTTAATTATACCTACCATGTCTGCAGAAGAACTGAATAACTACTTTGCATGTATCAGATCTGGTGAATATTTTGCACTTCTCTACATTTCTTTCGAGGGAATTCAGATATCTAAAGATGGGCAGGATTGACTGTAACACAAATACATTATAGAATTGTACATAATATGGCAGTTTGATTAGTTTTAAAACTAACAAAAGAGGGCCTCTATGGTGGCACAAGGGGTTAAGTCTCAGCACTATGAAGATATTTGCAGCCACTGCAGCACTAGCTCCATCCCCAGCCAGGTTGCTGACCCACATGGTGTAGCAGACCTCTCCTGTCTGGCCCACTGCTACCCAGTAGATCTGCCTGTTCTGCTCCCCACTCTGTCTCTGGTGAGTCCTCTCACCTCACCTACCTCTGGCCTACACCCCAGCTCTTGTCTGCATAAATAAATAAATCTTTTTAAAAATGTATAAAAAATAACAAAAGAAGAGCATGTATATTTATAAATGAAAAGACTTATCTTTCATGCCAATTAAACCAAGTATTAAGTATAGATGTTACATCACATAGAACAGATATTTCTGCAATACAAGACAAAATGAGGGTCACTTATATTTACTTTCATTCCCAGTTTGCAATTTAAATTCGACACTTTGTCATTATCATTCATTTCCGCTGAGGTTGACCATTGATAATGTTGAAAAAACACAGGAGAGAAGAGGATACATCCATACGCTGACCTACAGGAATTCACAGATCTTAGAGCAAGCTGGAAAAATTAAATTATAGCCATTTAGGAGAAAATCAACGTCCTTTAAATGATTACTTTAGAAAATTCTATTTTTAACATCACAATTAAATGTATTAAAAATGTGTGCATATATGTACTACATTATACAAATACATTATAAAACACAATATGGACTGCATTATACAGTGTGTATTGAATTTACATATGTATATACATGTAAGTGTCTATGTTGAATACATAAAGGCATTAAATCTAAAATCTTGCATGCTGACATGATAAAATTTTAAGGCCTATGGGGCCCTACCTTTACCACACAAAGTGGCAGAAGGCAAGATAAAAGGGAGTAAGAAGATTGCAGCAGATTATATAAAGGGACAAACCAATACTCAGCTTCAATCAATTACATCTGAATTTTCAAGAGAAGGTCATCTGAATTTTCAAGAGAAGCAGAAAATTTGGGTATTTGTGTGGACTCTCTCAGTTTGTAAGTGTTAAAAATTATTTCACTTGTATGAGAAAAAAAAAAAACAGTGCTAGACCCCCCCAAAAAATTCTGCAAGCCACATCTAACTTCTTGACAACCAGTTTGTGATTTCTGGTTTAAACTATGTTTACCTGCATGGTTAAGTTTACTAGGCTCTACATGTACTCAGAATTATAAAATAAAGATGTCAGGCCTTCCTGGTGGCACAGGGGTTAAAGTCTCAGCGCTATCAAGCTTTCACCAGCCACTGCAGCATGAGTTCCATCCCTGGCCAGGGAGCTGACTCACATGGCACAGCAGACCTCTCCTCTCTAGCCAACTGCTTCCCTCAGCAGTGTATTTCAGTAGATCTCCCTGTTCTGTTCCCCACTTTGTCTCTGGTGAATCCTCTCACCCCACACACCTCTGGCCTATACCCCAGTTCTGGTATGCATAAATAAATAAAAGCAAATCTTTAAAATAAATAAAATAAAGATGTCAGTGAACAGGACAGTTACAATTTCTGTATTTCATAGTTAACAATGTGTCTGGACAGGGATCTTTAAAAATTTTTTGCCTTAATAGAAGGTATATTAGTTAACTTTCTTACTTACACCCTTTTCAGATGGATCTAGCCACAGCTCATCACTAATTCGTGAAAGAGCTTGGATTGCTTTTCCAAATACTGTGGAGAAAAAGAAAGGTGCTGTTTACATTCTTTCTAACAATAAAAACAAATCATAGGACTACATCATCATTCAGATAAATCCACAATGAATAGTGTTTTCTACACTGCTACAATGCTTTAAGAAATGCAGTACAATATCCTTGGCAGAATGTCAGACACGTAGTAAGCACTCGATAAATTCTCAGAATGAGTGTGTGGCATGATAAAATGCAACAAAATTCCTCCTTTCTGTATGTTTGCAGTGTCACATGGAACTATTGTGGCAGCCAGTTTCCATCCCAATGTATTTTCAAACTTGGTTTAAGTAAATGTATCTCCCTAACCCTGCCAACTTATGAAAACAAGAGTGTGGAGAAGATGGTTTGAAGGGTTTTAATAACTTCATAGATGGCAATGTCAAAACAAGCCATGAGAAAGAAGTTGGAGGCATTCAAAATGCATTTCTGATGTGTGAGGGTAATATGGAAGATGCCAGATTTTCCCAGCAAACACACTTAGACACCTGTCAGAGAGGTCAGGGCTGGATGGTCTGATCTGGCATGACACTGTTATGAATAAATAAAAAAATGTGGCAAATGGATACTGGATGCCATACTGCAATAACAGTGAGCCGCCACATCAATTAAAAAATGGAAAAAAGGAAAAATAATTCTAGAACATAAAATCAGACAATAATGCTTACCAGTAAGAAATGAATGAGTTGGGGACATGGGTCTCAAACTGAGAAATATAAATTGGAAGTGCTGAGGGTGGGGTTGGGAGAGATAGGGGCATTTGCCTCTTTTTCTACTTCTATTTATTGCCTTTCCCTGGATCTGACTAATGCTGACCTTTCATTCAGCCAATGAATCTTTATTAAGCACCTACTAGGTTCCAAGCACAACCCAAGACAATGGGGGGACAGTAATGAGCAAGACATGACGTTCCTGCCTTTAGAGTGTTTCCAGTCTACGAGGAAAACAGAATTAAACAACTGTACACATAATAGCTTATAGAGAACTGAGGTACGCGCTCCAAAAGGGAACCCTGAGAACACGCAGCGGGGGAGGAGGAGGAGCTGCCTTTCCTGTTCCTCTGTCTTGTTCCACAGGGGTGCTGAACACAGGGCAAGCCACAACTCAAGAGAACTTTCAGTCGTCATTTTCAGGTGACAATCTGCAGAAAACCATTGCTTTTCTAAGCAGAGACTTTCTGGAGTAATTTATGTACTTAAAGTACCACTTGTAATAACGGTTCCTCTGCACTCCCATTTATTCCTGAGTTCTTTTCACGCATTTCCATTTCATTGCTACTAGACCAATGGCGGTGCCTTTACTCCCAGATAAGGAACTTGAGCCCCAAAGGGATTCACTGGCTTGTGCCAAGTAACAATACAAAACCATGGTAGAATCTGGAAGAATTCTAATCTGCTTTTCTTGTAACACTAAAATATTTTCGCTGTCCTAGTATTTTCCCCCAACTCCTTCCCGTGCGTCCTTATCATCCTGAGTTCGAGGCCCGCACTCGCCATCTCTCTCCCGAGGTGCAACCTCACTTCACGGCCACGCGTGAAAATACATATTATTGTATAAATAAAAGCAGAGCGGCCTCGTCGACGACCAAGGAGGTGTCCCCGTGACGTCAGACTTGCTCTTTTCTACATAAGGAGGCAAGAAGGCCGCTGCACCTTTCACCTGACTGCCGTTCATGCCGCACTTCAGCATGGCCGCGGGCCCCGAAGAAGGTCACCAGGCGTCCCTTAGGTCGACGGCCCCAGGTGCCCGGATGTTGCCCGCGCATTTTGAAGCCGCAGGATTTCACCGCGGCCTCCGCCTCCACTAAGTCTCAAACAACAGCTTCGCTTTACGGCGGGGAAGGGCCTGCGCGGGTTCCCGTAAGGCGGTCTCCGCCGGCCTCGTCTCTCATTGGCTGTGAGCGAGGTGGGCGGGTCGCTGAGAAGCCTGAGGAAGAGGGCGGCGGCGGTTGTGGTGACTGAGCGGAGCCCAGTGACAGGATGGTGAGGATGGCAGCTGCGGCGACCGGGCCTGCTTCTCGGCCCGGGTGCTGCGTCGCTGGGAGCCGCTGGGAGTCCCGGGGCGAGGGTTGGGGCGATCCCGGGGGCCTCGGCGGGCGCGGCCCCGACCGGGGCCTGGGGAGGCCCAGGGGGCGGGCGAGGGAGAAAAAGGAGCCGCCACCTCAGGGTGCGGCCGGCCGGGGCCTCGCACTCGCCCCAAGGGCCAGAGGACGCCTGAGGGGCCCAAAGGCCCCTCAGCTGCTGCTTCTGTCACGAGGCCGGCACGCTGTAGCCCGGGGAAGGCCTTTGGGCTTGTGCCTCGAGCGTCCCCGAGGGAGGTCCCCGGCGTTTCCAGACGTTTCCTTACTCCTTTCCTGCAAAGAACACCTCCCGCTGTGGCAGCGTCCGCGTTCCACCCCCAAGTGGCGAAAGCTGCCTTCTGGGATGCAAAACGGGAAGTGGCGAGCTGAACCCCTGCCCGTTTTAGTTTGCCATCTAGGAAAAGAGGGTGAAAACTGTTCCCTTCGCCCCTGAAAGAACGTGCAGTTGCCACTGCAGTGGAGTGGTCAGCTTTCCAGGCACTGGGTTTGGTTCTCAGAATTGTTAGAACTGCTTGATTCCTCAGGGTGCCTGTGGACTTGAAATTGTTTGGGAAATGTGATTATATACGTTTTCCCCTAATAAAGGGTAGTTTTGGTGCTAAGGGGTATTTTGGGGTGCTTTACCTCACTGGTTCATCAGAACGCCCCAGACTTGCCCAACCAGCTTCCAGGCCAACCCATCACCCTCAAAAGGTGGCCACCCTTAAGAGCGTCTATATAAAAACTCGGGAGCTGCCACTCGTGTCTGCATTTAGATTTTCAAAGGTACCCTAAAAAACTAGGAAATGCAAAAGGACCTCTCATTATTTTGGTATTTGTGTTGATATGGTTAACTGGGTAAAGAGATTCCTTTCTCTGATGGGCCTCCATTGCATTTTTAAGATGATCATGGTTCTGTGACAAGTAGAGCCTTTGGGGTGGCTGATAGAGGTGACAGCCAAAGATGTGCATGCTTCTTTAGTTTATGTGTGGGAACGTCTTTCATCCCACTTTTAACTTTTGCTTCTAAGCAGACTCCAGTTTAGGGTAATTCAGTTTACAGTAATTTTGAGGCAGTTATCCCTGAAAAAAGAACTTAAGTAACATGATTCCGTATTCATGTTTCTGAAGTTTTCTGAGACGTGAACAGTTTTTTAGGGCAGTTGTACCAAAACACCGCTTTTCACACGAAAAGGAAGCAACTGGACAAAATTTAGCATTAACTGACTTTTATGATTCATAGCATTCGCTATAACAAAGGAAACTAGAAATGTTCACACTCAGTAGTGTCCAGAGTATATGGAAAGCCACGCATGTGGGGAAAGTTCAATTTTAGCTGGAGGAATGTGTTGGTTTTTCTAATGATCTTTTGCTGGAGACTTCATCATTTGATAATGTATTCAAAGTGCTGTGTTAGGTCTTCTATACACAATAATGACCTAGCTGCAGCATAAATTTCCATCTACAAACATTCCTCAACCTATGTGACTTGAATTACGATTTTCTGATTTTCTGTTGGTGATAATCAGATAAGCATTCATTAGAATCCATGCTTCGGATTTAGAATTTTGATCTTTACCCAGCTAGTGATATAAAGATATGTTAATCTCTCAGCTTACATATTATGAGGGTAAACAACCAATACTCTACAGCATACTTCCTTGGATATTGTGTTTTGTGTTTTCACATCAAGCTTACAGCTATAGGGTAATGAAAGTATTCTGAGCATGTTTTAGGTAGACTAGGTTAGGCTATGATGTTCCATAGTTGGGTGCTTTAAGTGCATTTTTAACGTATGATGGGTTTATCAGGACAAAATCCCCATTGTAAGTTGAGAGAGTGCTGGACTAGAATCGTGAACATGAAAGAATTACAGTCACTATACTTGAAGAATAATTAGAGCTTAAGAATCCAGAAAATGTTAGCTTTTGCTTAAGCTTACTAATGTATTTTCCAAATTGTATAAAATTCTAAAAACAACTGGGAGCAAAAGGAATGAGAATCAAAAAAAAAAAAAAAAGGAATGGGAATCAATATGGAGAACAAGATTAGGAAAAGCTCAGAAAAAAAAAATGACAAGCCAAAAATTTCTTTTGAAATGTATGTGTGTTTGTGTGTGCTTGCGTGACATGTTTTAAAATGTAGCAAATACTTCTTTTGGTATTGTTTTGAACAAAGCTGATTTTTAACATTTTCTTTCATAACACTCAGAAATCATTAACAATTGTTGGCATATTCATTTGATATGAGTTTTTGTTCTTTTTTGGTTTGTTTCTTTTCGTTGCTTTCTTTTAACATTGGTCATGTTCACCCTTTTTTTTCATTCCCCTGTCTGCAATCAACTTCTCCATCCCACTAAGGCTGGGCACAGAGTAAGTTTCTTCTCTTAGCTCTTACTAACCAGTGGTGGTTGGGTGGCTGATTCTGGGTTTTTCATCCTTTTAAGGTCTATCAAATAAGTAGCCAAATTCCTATGCTTTGATTGGGTTGGTTCTTTATTTGAATTTAACAAGACTACTATTTTCAGGATCTTTTGCTATCTTTAAAGATTATATCTAACCTGAACTGTCAAAGTATGGAATTTGGGCAAAGGCAGTCAAAGTATGACATTTGTCATGTGACACCATTTCCCCTTTAACTACATACCCAGCAGGAAACGAAAGGAAACCAGTAAGAATCCTAACTTATTTGAAATAATTTCTGTGTGGTCATTCATATATCATTAGATGGTGAATAGTCTGGGTATACTTGAGCATAATCAACAGTACCTTATAAAGTGAAGTCATCAATCATTATAAAGATTGTCTCTTACTAATGTTCTTTCTAGCACGTTCAGATTGAACAGCTCATTCATTATTTATCCAAACATTTTCAACCGTTATAGACATATATCCTTTTATGAGTTTTAAGGTTCTTCTTTTATTTTTTAATATAGAAATCTATTTTTTACCTTTTTCTCAAATGCCAGCTTCCCACATTAACTATGTACTTCAATCCATATCTGAAGGGATCCCCCTTTAAAGATGAAGATTGTTCTATCTCCAGGTACTTTTGTATTGATTACCAATGAGGGTGGAAACTTCATGTGGTTTTTAGTTTTACAGATGTTTTGTCCATTAAGATCTGGATTGAAATAATCTAAGTCATTGAGCAAATGCCAGCTGAAACTATTCTTTTATAAAGGAGAAACTTATTTAACAATTTCTTTTAAAGCTCATTTTGTAACCTTGTGTTACTCCAGCTACTCTATGCTCCAATAACAGTGCCTTTCCTTTGCAATCACTTTGATTTTTGTTGCAAATGAATCACGCTTTTTTTAGTAATCATTTTAATTTCACACATTTCATTTTTTTGATTAATTTCAGTTTACAAAGTCTGTGGTGGCAAAAGTATTTTCTGTTCTATCCTATTTTAGATATTTAATTGATTGGGGTTTTTTTTTATCATATTAAGGAATGGTCATGCCTTCTTTAAAAGGATGTACATTTATGGATGGAATGTTTTTATGGGAGAACATCCTGTCATAGCGTGAAAGTACTTATACTAACCAAGGTGAAAAGAATGATTCTGTTGTCCTTTGAAGGACAGATATTATTTTTGAATAACCTTTTGGACAATATGCTGTTAATTGACTGAATAAGGCTTATTAAAAATAAATAATGTTGATGTCAAATATTGAAATTTCAAAATTAAAAAACTGTACAGCACTGAGGGTTTTTTTTCAAGCACAAAATTTATTTTTGTCATCTGAGACTGCTGGAATTCTAAACCACCTCTGCTAAATTTGTCAGTTATTTAGCTGATCTCTGTTTCTCTCTCTCTCTCTTTTTAATGCTCTAAAGCACATGAAAGATTGTGAAAGTGTTATTTTAAGTTTGGGAACTATACTCAGAATACATATGTAATTTAATCTAGACACTAAGAATATGAGAGTGAGCATTTCTATAAAGAAGGACAATTAGCAAAGATGATAGTTGAAAAGTACAATTTTACCCTATCAAAGCTCTTTGAAACACAGGCTGTTTTTATAGCTCTATAATGTACAGCTAATAGTTTTAAGTAACAAATATTGTAAATTTTGGTTACTGTTCATCCCAAGCAATTGACAGTCCAGTAAATTATAGAATTTATTTTCTTTATTATTTTTAACAGCTCTATTAATGAAGCTGAAATCAACATGAGGTTTCATATTACAATTGCAGAAATATTAATTACCATATCAGAATTCAAAAATTCCCTAGGGCCATTTAATATATTTTTCAATTTGCAGGGTTTGTTTTTTTTTTTCCATTCAGTGTAATGTATAGGTCTTTAAATGAATCACTTTAGAAAGTTTGATTTTATTCTTGGTAAATAGATTATCTATATTGTGTATATATATCTGTTTATGACCAAAATAAAATGAGATTGATTTAGAACAGAGTACATTAATATATGTGTTTGTTTAAACCATCGTGATAGAAGTTGTAAGAATAATTTCTGCTCTTTGGGATTCTGAAATCTCTCATGAGTTTCATTTAAACGGGGAGTTATGGGAAGAAAATATCTTGTTTTGACACCATGTTTAACATTATACCTTGTCTCACCTTGGCAAGTTGGTGTTGGTATTAGGAGACCTGCACATCCCTCACCGGTGCAACAGTTTGCCGGCTAAATTCAAAAAACTGCTGGTGCCAGGAAAAATTCAGCATATTCTCTGCACTGGAAACCTTTGCACCAAAGAGAGTTATGACTATCTCAAGACTCTGGCTGGTGATGTTCATATTGTGAGAGGAGACTTTGATGAGGTGATGTATTTCTTTTTCCTTCCCATGTATTTCTGTCTTGATTCTTTTATATATTAAGTGTTATCCTTTAGACCAGAGCTTCTCTCTCTAAGGGTTTTTTTTTTAACTCTCTAGATACAAATTTGCTATACTACTACCCTTCCCTTACTATATTAAGAACATGACTAACAAAGTTGATACAGAGTTATCAACTTAACAGGTTTTTGTTGTTGTTGTTGTTGTTGTTGTGCTGTAATTTTGTTTATAAAGTTTTGGTATGAACTTCTCACTACCACCACCTTGACTGCTCTGTTCTAGCCACCTTATCACTGCTGTAGTCGAACTTCCTGATTCTGTCCTTCCTTTCTCCCTCCAGTTTGTTTTCCTAAGTAGCAACCAGAGTGATCCTTTTTAGGGGTCATAGTTTATATCTCTACTCTGCTAAAAACCCTTTCATGGTTTCCTATTACAAGGGTTAACTGTAAAAGGGCATCAAGAACTTGAGGAAGTGATGGAATTGTTTTTCACCTTGATTATGACAATGCTTACATAACTATGTTCATTTGTCAAAAACCCTTGATTGTATGTTAAAAAGGATAATTTTACTGTATATAAATTATACTTCAGGGGCCTCCCTGGTGGCACAAGGGGTTAAGATGCAACTTATGGAAGCTGTCCACAGCCACTGCAACATGAGTTCGATCCCTGGCCAGGGAGCTACCCACAGGGCGCAGCAGACCTCTCTTGTCTTGCCCGCTGTTCCCCTTAGCAGTATATTTCAGTAGATCTGCCTGTTCTGCTCCCCATACTGTCTCTGGTGAATCTTCTCTCCCCCCGCACCTCTGGCCTGTACCCCAGTTCTTGTATGCATAAATCTTTAAAAAAATTAGACCTCAATAAACCTGATTTTAAAGAAAAAATTAAGTTAGGCATTCTGGAGTGCCAGCTTTTCCTATTAATAATGAGATTTTAGGTGCATTACATCTTTGTTCTGGCCTATGTTAAAATAGATTGGAATAGATCATTTTTAAGATCCCTGTCATTGCCAACTTTATATGATTTAGTGTAATAAACTTGACTCCAATATGAAAAAGTATATTTTGCATTTTTGCCAAAATAATCTTTTCCGTAAATTATTTCACTGGTACTCTTTAATGAGGTCCCTTTATACCAAACTGAATGGGCACCACACGAGTGCTCTCTCCTCTCTCCCTCCCTGCCCCTCCCTCCCCCTCTCCCTCTCACAGTAGATTTAAAAAGGAATTTGGATAAGCTGGAAGGACATGAAGGTGAAGAATAGGGGAATGAGAAAGGAAGGGGCAAACTCTTTTGTCAATAATTAGAATATAGTTCTGGTTTGCTAAAAACATATTCAGAATTCTGTTTGTGTAATGACAGCTTCATTAGCAAGAATTGAAATTATCTGCTTCCATTTGCTAAATTCACAGACCTTGGAGTTATACTACTAGGGCTTGGTTCTTGCCTCAACCATTAGTAGATTATAACCTTGGGCAAGTTATTTTCTCAGTCTGTTTCCTCATCCATAAACTGAAGCTTATGGTAGAAATCTAACTGTTGGAATTATTTGTAAATATTAAGTAGGTTGAGATATATAAAGCCCTTAGAATAATGTTTGGTTTGTAGTAAGTGCTATGTAAATGTCAGCTCTCATTATTGCTCCAAGCTGTCTATATAATTCTCAAAGCCTGAGACATAATTTGAACACAACCTAGCTTATAGACCATATGCCTAGGATCCTTAGATAAAAGAAAATTATAAATTTGGGGGAATAGTTATCCCCTACAGCTTGCCTAAAAGTACACATATTCTGGGGGCCTCCCTGGTAGCACAAGGGATTAAGTCTCAGCACTGTGAAGCAGTCCACAGCCACTGCAGCACAAGTTTGATCCCCAGCTAGGGAGCTGACCCACATGGCGCAGCAGACCTCTCCTGTCTCTCCCACTGCTCTCCTTGGCAGTATATTTCAGTTAATCCTCCTGCTCTGCTCCCCACTTTTGTCTCTGATGAATTTCTCACTCCCCGCACCTCTGGCCTGCACCCAGGCTCTTGTATGCATAACACACAAATCTTTAAAAAATAATAATTCTTTTTAAAAAAGAACCCATATTCTATAGAAATAAACATAGTAAAGAAATTACATGATACATTTCAATTTATCTAGAATAAATTGTATTTTGAGCATTGCCGCAGTGATTGAGGAGAAATTAAATGTCTTGTAAATGTATTGGTTTGGGGCACTGTATCAAAATGTCCATATGAGACTGAATATTTAAGCAGGTGGTTTTTAGGCATCAGTATCTCTAAAATATAATTTTGTCTGTTTATTTTAGAATCTGAATTATCCGGAACAGAAAGTTGTGACTGTTGGGCAATTCAAAATCGGTTTGATCCATGGACATCAAGTCATTCCCTGGGGAGATATGGCCAGCTTGGCTCTGTTGCAGAGGCAGTTTGATGTGGACATTCTTATCTCGGGACACACACACAAATTTGAAGCATTTGAACATGAAAATAAATTTTACATTAACCCAGGTTCTGCCACTGGAGCATATAATGCCTTGGAAACGTGAGTGTGTAATTTGGGAACACGGAGGCTTTATTAAAGTTAATAATTGCATGCATGACATTTTATAAGTGCATTCAATCACTAAAGTAATTCTAGCCTTTTTGGGGCAGTCTTCTGTTTGTTCTTTTTAATAATACCAACCAGATATCTATTTGAATTTAAATTGAAATTTTATAGTGCCACCTTCTAGCACAAAATACTGACATTGTTTATATTTTCTTCCAGAAACATTATTCCTTCATTTGTGTTGATGGATATCCAGGCTTCTACAGTTGTCACTTATGTGTATCAACTAATTGGAGATGACGTGAAAGTAGAACGAATTGAATACAAAAAATCTTAAAACCAGGCCTGTCCTGATGATTTTTGTTGTTTTTTTTTTTTTTTTTCATTCCCCTGTTCAAATCAAGTAATTAAACATTTAAGAGCCACAAAATTGTATCACTTTTATAATATTTTGCAGTAAAATATATCATCTTCTGTTAATACAGTGCTCTAAGCTTCTTGTAAACTATAAGAATATATTTAGTTTATGTATATGATTTCTATGAAAAGATGTCCACCACACAGTAATGGTCACGTGTTATGAAAAATTTATCCTTGTAAATATCTTCAAAGTTGATACTTGGGACTTTATTACAAAAGTAGTGCATGGGGAGAAAGATTCTAGACCTTCTTGTATACATTTTTCTCTTCTCCAATAATAAAGTTACCTTTCATTTATACTTTCTTGATAAACTTTTTTTACAAACCATAAAAGTAAGAAACCAAGTGAAACTGGACACATATTAAGGGGATGAGGTAGATGAGGTGAGCTTTCAAAGCTCTCATTACTTAACAGCATTCTGAGTCATAATGTTGTACTCATTTTTTAGATAATACTCTGTATAGACATGTTAAATCAGTAATGACTCTTCAGGCTGTTGTGTTAAATCGCCCATTCCTATTTTTCAAGTTGAACAAAAAATGTTTTTAAAACACTGATGTATTTAGAAGGGAAACACACTAAAGTGAATATATAAAGAATCCTCTCAGTACAAAAATTCCCAACTCAATCTAATTTGAGTGTCTTAAGTGTTTGTGTGGAAATTTTCATAAAACAAGGCAAATTGGTATTTCTACTTTTAAGCTCTGTTCAAGCAGCGAGCACCTACTTTGCAAGCCTGAGTGTTAGCTCTACCAAATGCTATTCAGTATCCGAATATTTCAGTTTTCTTCAGCCCTACCAAGGAAATACTTGTAGGATATTCTAATATTGCTGTTCTGGGACTTACTGTAAACAGGAAAGAATTATATGATGTATTTGTCAGACTTAAAAATAATTCAATTTTAAGTGACAAAAATTTTAATTGTATCTACTAGAAATAAAACACACAAATTTTATTACACAAATATGGTACATCAAACCTACTACATCAAACCTACTACACTATTGTAAAAGTTTCTGAACAAACCAAAATTACTTAGCGACTTAATGAAAACAATACTATCCTAAATGTGGAGAGAGGATACAATTCACAGCCCCTTCCCCCCACCTTTGGCACATCATTAATACACAAAATAAGACTGTCAAGTTAACATTAGATGTTCTCCATTTTCTTCAATTGACATTGATTGCATAGACTTATTTAGTAAATTGTCCTCCTTTTTTTCTTCATTCATGTATGGCTCAGAATCATTTGTAGAAACTAAAGGAAAAATAAGAATTTATTAAGGACTGTTTTTAAAAGTTGTATTTCGGGGCCTCCCCGGTGGCGCAGCGGTTGAGCGCTGGGTTGCGAGGCTGCCCGCTGCCTCTGCGGCGCCGGTTCGATCCCCGGCTGCTCCCCGCCACCGGAGGAGGGTCCCACATGGCGCGCAGACCTTTCCTGCCGCCCACTGCTCCCCTCAGCAGTGTACTTCAGTCCTTCTGCCTGCTCTGCTCCCCGCTCTGGCTCTGGTGAATTCTCTCACCCTCCCACGCTTCTGACTGTACCCAGTGCATGTACAAACAAAAAACAAACGAACAAACAAATAAATAAATAAAATAAAACATGCCTCTATTAAAAAAAAAAAAAAAAGAAAAAAAAAAAAAAGTTGTATTTCATCCTGAAAATTGAGGTTTGTATGTTGGAACCTTCAAAATGACCTACCTCATTAATAAGCCTTTAGCAAAAACAAAGCATATTATTGCCTGCAATTTCCAAAACTTACTCAACTCTCCCTCCTCCCTATCTCTTTTTAAACAATATAGAACTGAGTACTATATTCTAAGCAAGTAACTGTATGGTAAATTATATTTTACCTTTGCATTCCAAAATATTTTGGTTAGGGGGACGTTAGTGGTCAGTTACAGTTTCAGCATTCCCCACTTGCCTTTAGTTCCTTCTCATGTTTCTTTCCTCCTGGGGACTGCAGGGACTTCCGCCTACATGTGCTTTTCTCCAGCTTTGTGGAATCGGACTTATCTTCTCCCCTATCATGGCCCTCATTTCTTTGATAGGCACAATGCAGTATTTACAGCAGAGCTGAGTGGTGCTGTCACAGCAATGGGATGTGGCTTCAGAAGGCCTAACTGCCCTACTCACTAGGAAATCGTTTCACTTCCACTTAATCTTTATTGCTTTTGTCAGTTCTGAGAAATAATTCTGAGCATTTAGTCTCTTTCTCTTGCCTTTTTTATTTTGTGAAATTCTACACTTATAAAAACATCCTTTATGCTGATCCCAAGATTGAATTTTCTGAGTTACTCTAAAATTTTGCTATCACCCAGTTTGCTTGAAAAGTCACTTTTGTGGCTCTGGATTCATTGTTGAGTTTCTGACCTTCCTTTTATAAGTATCTTTATTCAGAATTAGGAATACCTTGAATCTTACTCCTCTGAGTAGTGTGTTCTTCTACATGAAAGCAGAAACTATATTTCATGTTTAGTTTTATTTGGAACAATAAAGGCAAATCACAAACTAATGTCATGTAATGAAAATGAAACTGGTTGGCTTAATATTTTTTAAGCCTAAGATCTTTAAAAATGCACATGTAAAAAATTCCACTTTTACCTGATTGCATGAACATTCTGTCTGGTTTTCTAAAAATCTTCAGTGACTTACATCTTGTCTTAGATGCATGTCCAGTTTTTAAACTATAAAAAAAAAAAAAGACGTATCTTAATTGGAGTTAGCAAAGTGAGCAGCTGCCTAATGAATGTGGAAGACCGTACAAATTCTTTTTACTAAGCTGCCATCAAAAGAGACCCTTTCAGCCCCTGAATTCTCTTGTGACTTATTAACCCTGAAATGCAAAATGTAGTGCAGGTTGAACAACCAGCCTTCTTAGTCTTTTTTTTCCTTTTTCCTTTTTTGTTTTACAGCATTCCCTTGTGTAGAAGCAAATACATGCTTCTTCCTTTTAGAAATGTTTATATTTTGAATTTGGGAAAAGGTAGTCTTTCGTATTTCTAGTTGATGGAAAAATTTTAACAATTTTACAAAATATGTTCTAAAAGATGTGGCATATCCCAGTCAGTTCAGTAAAGAGACTATAACATTCTTTGGTACTTTTTGGCCAACCTATTCTGAATTTAACAAAGTGAATATATTAGGGAAAGCAAGCATTAGTATCACTTAGCTACCTTGCAAATTAAATTGGGGTATATTGCCTCCTTTTAAACAATAAGAAACAGACCTTTCTTTGTTTCTCACTGGACTCCAAAGGGAATGTTGTCTGATCATTTCAGGTGCTGATGCAGCTGCCATGTTAGAAGGCTCAGAGTCCTCTCTCTCCAGTTGATGTCGCCATGTAGTACAGGGATAATGCTGCTTCTGTGAGTAACGAGAGCTGAGATGGCTCCTGTGAGTGAGGACACCTGTCATACAAATCACCTCTGTTAGAAGACTCTCTTGTGAGAACTAGTGAGAATCTAACTGCAGGTGCACCTGCCTGGCTTTTGTGAGCTGTGCTGGATCACGTGCATGTACTGTCTCTTCATTAACATCCTCAGATAGTTCGCATTATAGATCTTAGCAAAGCTGCACAGATAATGCTTCTGGCCTGTGGTGAGGTCTGGATGCTAAAAGACAGAGCAAGATTTATAGGCTGCACTGCAGAAGAGACTGGCAGTATTCCTTATCTGAAAGGACGAGCGTTCAGGGGGGTTGTACCATCTGTATATTTTACTTACGCAAATTCAACTCTATTAATATGGCCAAAAAGAAAGAAATGGCCATTTAAACAGTGCAGGTAACTGACTGCATGTCATTGTCACCCCAGTGATTCACATACTCGATGAAGGTTGAGAACCCCTGCCCTAGATTAAGGAATGAGTGACTCTGCTATTCTGTCAGCAAGTCTTAGTTCCCCATATGCCACTCAGGCAGTATTTTGCCTTCTGAATATGACTTTCGAGGCATAACATGGTACCTAAAAGCACCCAAATATGCTTAGTGTTAAAAAAAAAAAAAAGTCTTCTAGCACCAGTAAAGTAACTGTCTATGTTGGACAGACTGAAGGATAGTCTGTTGGTCGCTGATACAATTTTAACTAATGTTTTTACTACTTGCTGGCTTTAAATTTAAAAGTTAATGCTCACCTATGATGCAAGACTCCACTATATATGCATATGTATACACACACAGGACTTAACTAAATAGATAGTAAGTACAGAGAAAATTCAATGTTGATTAGAAAAATTAACTAGAATGTGGACCTCTCTGGTGGCCTAAGGGTTAAATCTCAGTACTATCACCACTATGGCCTGAGTTCCATCCCCAGCCAGGGAGCTGGCCCACACATGGCACAACAGACCTCTCCTGTCTCTCTTGGTGCTCCCCTCAGCAGTGTATTTCAGTAAATCCATCTGTCCTGCTCCCTACTCTGTCTCTGGTGAATCCTCTCACCCCTGCATCTCTGGCCTACACCCCAGTTTTTCTATGCGAAAAAGAAAAGAAAAATTTACCAGATTGCACAAATCTTTAGTAACCTTAATTTGCTTTGTACTAGAGAGGATACTTCTGGCAGCTATAATCTTTAATAGGTAATGCAGGTCAACAGTTGTAAAATCTACTTGCTTCTACTTTTGTAATCCTTGTGTAAAATGTTTGGGCTGGGCTTCCATGTCTAGAATGGAACTCTTCTCAAACATTTTGTGCTTAGGGTATTGAGATTCCTAGTAAAGATACATTAAATTTGAAGTACCATGCAAGACCCTGAGAGACCTTATGTTAGAGGACTCTATAGTAATACCCTTACATTCATTCATGTGTTTACCCAGTAGTTATTTATGGACTCCTAGACAACTGCTAGTGTACCTTGTCTTCTGCAGTGCCTTATCCTGATTTAAATTCATACTTGAATGAATTTCAAGAAAAAAATTCATACTTGAATGCAAAGATGGTATTTAAATAAAGTATTGGCAGTTGATTACCATACCTCTAGAAAGGACATGTCCGTCATTGATTTAGGGATGTGAATTGTTTGAATTTGAGAAGTTTTCCATAACTCTTGCAACTTGGCAATATGAAAGTTCACTTTGTGTTCATCTTTGATTCTATCTGTAGGCAAGGACATTATGATGTGAATGTCATGAGGAAAGATCAGCTGACTAATTATTAAGATCTATGTTCTTAGATGTAAGTAATTATCCTGGATTAGTAGGCGTTAAACTGTATGATAGGTCATTTGATTTTAGATTATAAAAATTTAAGATATCCATATTTACTCTCTATATATCTATCGTTACATATGGACTACATTATTTTTAACTCAATTGAGATGCAAACTTTTTTTCTGAGATGCAAACTGTTGACAGTAACTTACTATTTTAGTTTATTGTATGTCAGACCCTACTAAACAAGAATATACATGCAGATTTATACTTTGAGGATTTATAGTAATTTTTTTCTATTACTATTAAATTCTATTCTGATTTAGACTCAAGAAAAACACAAAATTTATCCCTTTAAGAGTCAATGTAGGGCCTCCCCGGTGGCGCAGCGGTTGGGCGCTGGGTTGCGAAGCTGCCTGCAGCCTCTGCAGCCGGTTCGATCCCCGGCTGCTCCCCGGCCACCAGAGGAGGGTCCCACATGGCGCGCAGACCTCTCCTGCCGCCCGCTGCTCCCCTCAGCAGTGTACTTCGGTCCTTCTGCCTGCTCTGCTCCCCGCTCTGGCTCTGGTGAATTCTCTCACCCTCCCACGCTTCTGACTGTACCCAGTGCATGTATCAAACAAAACAAACAATAAATAGATGGATAAATAAGACATGCCTCTAGAAAATTTAAAAAAAAAAAAAAAATAAAAAAATAAAAAAAAAAAAAAAAAAGAGTCAATGTAAGAGGGAGGGACTTTGCAGAAATTTATTAAAATATATTTTACATAATTTCAGTTTTAAATACTGTTGTGGGTAGATTAAAGGAATAACCTTATAATAAAAATCAAGGTTGAGGCATAGTCCCAGAAGAATGGAAACTAGTTTTCAGTTTTAGACATTGAGACCAGTTAACTTAATTTAGGATATAAACTTCATTAGCAGCTTGAGGAAAAACATCTGGCAAATTTTAATCAGGAAATGCTTCTTTGTGGCATTCTCTTCCTCTCCCCTTACCCCCCCCCAAAAAAAAAAAACCACTGATGTGCTTTCTACTGCTATAGTTTGCATTTTCTTGATTTTGATATAAATTGACAGTGGAAACTTGTGGTTCTTCAAAAAATGAAACACAGAATCTCCATATGATCCAGCAATTCTACTTCTGGGTATATACCTAAAAGAACTGATAGATGAATGGATAAACAAAATACAGTATATACATACAATTGTGGGCCTAAACTGATGTATAAATTAAAAATATGCAGATTATGTCTGCTGAGCGAGGAGGTGTGAGCCACCCATTGGGGTTGGCAGGTGGCGCCCTCATTATCCGATGTAGCCTCACAAAGGAAACCAAATCACAAGATTATTTACAAATCCCAGAAACAGGAGGGGGCAGGTTTACAGCGAGTCAGTGGGAAGGCAGTCCTCCATCCCAGGTCACCAGGAAAGCAGGAGATAAGAGAGCAGGTATGAACCCTGTTCAATCATGGCTCATTGATCATGGAATTATCCGTGTGAACTCGGTAAGTTTTAATACACATATTAGGAAGATCTAGAGAAGTGGCTATAGATTTGTGGGTATGTATGTGTGTGCTCAAATGTAAATACGCTCATACATTTCATTTCCTGCTCTGTCCTCTGTGAGAAACCCAAAGCAGTAATTCATTACTAATGAGCACAAAAAAGATCCAGATCGGGCCTCCCTGGTGGCGCAGCGGTTGAGCTCTGGGTTGCGAAGCCTCTGCAGTGCTGGTTCGATCCCCGGCTGCTCCCCCCAGCCACTGGAGGAGGGTCCCACATGGAGCCAGACCTCTCCTGCCGCCCGCTGCTCCACTCAGCAGTGTACTTCGGTTCTTCTGCCTGCTCTGCTCCCCGCTCTGGCTCTGGTGAATTCTCTCACCCTCCTGCGCTTCTGACTGTACCCAGTGCTTGTATAAATAAATAAATAAATCTTTAAAAAAAAAAAAAAAAAAAAAAGATCCAGATCTTGGCTTTTAAGTACTATACTATTCTCCACTTAAAAAAAAAAAAAAAAAAAAAAAAAAAGAAAGAAAAGGTAAAACAACTTTAGTGGCGTAAACCAATGCCCACTTTTTATCTCATTGTTCTATGAGACAGCTGGCTTCTCTGCTTAGAATCTCACAAAGCCAAAATCAAGGTGTTGGTTTGCCTAGCCTCTTTTCTGGAGATTGTGGAGGAGAAGCTGATTCCTGGCTCATTCATGTTGGCAGAGTTTAATTCCTTGCAGATACAGCAATGTAGTCACAGCTTCCTATAGCTCTTCATCTTCTCCAAGTCAATAATGAGGTATTAAGGTCTATTCACAGTTCACATTTGTTAATTTCCTTATTGTCTGTATCTTTCTAGCTTTAGCCAGAGAAAATGCTTTAAGTGTTCATGTGATCAGGTTGGCTCACCCAGAAAAGTCAATATACTATCTCTATTTTAAGGGCCATAATGTAATACCTGCCAAGGCCCTTTTGCCATACAACAAAACATATTTGCAGGTTCCAATGATAAAGGTGCAGATATCTTTGGGGACCATGCTACTTACCACAGGCTACTTGGAGAAAGTCACCTCCAAGGCTAAGGACAGGGATAGTACAACGATTTGTACCAAGACACTGGCTGGGCTCTTTGAGGAGTGGAAACACCATGACTGAGGTTGATATCAATCCAAAGGCCTTCCCCTCTCAGATGGACACCTCACAAAGAAACTAATGGACCTTGTTCAGCAACCATGTTAACTCTAAGCAGCTTCAGAAAGGAACCAGTGAGGCCACCCAAACTCTCATGAGACATCTGAGTTCATTATGATGGCTGCAGACGCTGCTGAGCCCCTAGAGATCCTCCTGCCCTCCCACTGCTGGGGGAAGACAAGGAAGTGCCCTACATGTTTGTGTGCTCCAAGGAGGCCTGGAGCAAGCCTGTTGTGTCGCATTCAAAGGAGGCTCACAGCTGAAGCAGATGATCCAATCCTTTCAGCAGTCCACTGAAAGGCATCCTCTAAACGGAGGGCCTCTGCCCTGCTCCTCTGACTCCTCGTCCTGAGGTTGTGTCTCATTGTCTCTGTTAGCATGGACTATTTTCAGCTACTTACATTTTTACAGCAGTGAACCTGGTATTTGCATATTTTATATTGTGTTTGTCTTGTTTTCAGACTTCTCTCCCACACCTCTCTGCCCTCTCTACCATACTATCTTCCCTTTTGAAAAGTGAACCAATGCCCAGAACAGGTGGAAACAGAGTGGTAACACCATTTAAAGCAGAAAGTGCCAGGAGCAAGCTCTGGTTCTAGCTTTCAGGCCCGAACTTCCCACTGTGTGTGTGCAGGGCATGGAAGTGAACACCACCCATTGCATCCCTTGTGCCTGGCAGACAGAATCATCTCCTACGTATCTATACAACTGAGGGAGTTGCATGTCATGGGGAAGGCTACTGGGTGTATGTCCAAGTGTCACTAATGTCCCCCTACTTTTTACTGTTAGTAATGTGATATTCTGTTTGGGGGAGGGGTAACAATACCAAAGAGATTGCCCAAAGGTGACCTGGGCAAATGGGCCATGGGGCAGTTTATCTACATCTTGAAAGAATCTGGAGTCGCAAAGGTCAGTTGGTGCTGGAATGAAGGATTCTGGGAAAATCATGGAGAACTGACTGGATGCTACAGTAGAGATGATGGAACCCAAGGAAATAGCCTCTCTTTGGTGAAGGGAGGTTTCCTCAGTGGTACTAGCTCTAAGAGCCCTTATTCTGCTTCCTGTCATGTGGGTTAGATGTATGACTTCTCTATCACATCAGAAGAACAGAGCTAACGTGTCTTATGAGAGTCCTAGTAAATATATTCATACCCCAATAAACAACAGTTTGTAGCAAAAGGTAAGAGTGCTCAAGGGAAAATGGGGACAAATTAAAAGGGCACAGGAATCATCTCTAAAGGGTTTCCACTGACCAAATTTGTGATAATCTGAGTCTCAACGAAGTAATGGTATTCAAGGATTCGAGTGACTGAACAAAATAAGAATTCATGAGTTCACACTGATACAAATATGTAAGTAACTGGCAGAGAGAAGAATGCTCTTTATAATAGGAGGCCAACTTTGAGAATGCAAAATGAATGATGGAATTAGAAAAATCACTATTTCTAGCCATCATCGTAATAACTGATTTAGTTAAAAATGAAAGACAAACTAATGGATGAAAGTTTGAGGAGTAACAGGATATATACATAGTCTCATCTATTCCCATAATGTACATCTACAAACGCTAAAGCAGAAACTTTACAGCTGGCAGACATCACCGGAACTAAATGATCAAAATTAATATTGGAAGGGACTAATCCACAGCAGCTGTCTCCTTATAAGATGAACTAAGATGGATTTAGCACTTCTGTGGGATCCCTGCTCCAGTCGCAAAACCTGAATCTCATGAGGAAGAAACCTCAACCCCAAATGATTGGCCTCCGGTTTTCAAAAATGCCAATGTCATGAAATACAAAGACTCAGAAATGTTCCAGCTAAGGAAACTAAGAAACATGAGAACTGAATACCATGAACAAGCTTGAATTTATTTTTTGTTTTGCTATAAAGGGTTTTTATTGGAACAACAGACAAGATCTCAATAAAATCTGTAGGTTATTCTTTCAAATTTCCTGATTTTGACATTTTGTGAGAAATGTAAATGTGGTTAAGATAATTTTTTAAAGCAAATACATAGTTGGAAGTATGTAGGAATAAATGGGCATCTTGTCTACAAGACATAATATAGACAGTGTTAACATTTGAAGGAATCACAATGAAATATGTACTATTCTCATTTTTCTGTTAAATCTGTAAATCAAAAAATTTTAAAGTTATTAATTTTGGGGGCGGGAGGGAGGGCAAAACAGGGAAGGGATGAACACAAGGGAATATGGTGATTGATGGTTCACAGGTGATACGGTGGCGAGAGGACTATGGGGACTACCACGATATAAGAAAAAAATTTTAATAAAGGAAGTTACTAATTTTGATGAACTGATAGTATATTATTATGGAAATCTAGCTTATTGTTAGGTGAATGGTAAGTCAGTTGTTGAAAATGATTTTTACTCATTGTCTTGGAGGCTTCAAATTTTATTTGTGGTAAATTAGATTCAAAATAATACCTAGATACTCTGTCAGGAGTTGACTCTAGTGTTTGTATTAAAAAACAAAATGAGACCTTACTGGCCCGATGCCCCTCTTTCACCCCCATTATCAACAGCCATACACATTCACTACAGATTTGTAAAGTACAGTAACTGTAAAAAAAAATTTTTAATTGAATCCTACCATCCAGTAGTAATTATTTTTAAACATTTTGACATATCACCTTTCAGAGTTTATACTAAGCGTATATGTATGCTGGTTTTGTATGGGTAGAGTCCTTTACATCTTTTCAATTTGATTTTGATAGTTTATAAATTTTGCTTTTATATAATTGAATCAGTCTACCTCATATACTGTTAATTGTTGGAATTTATTATTTCCCTCCATATCTACAAAGTATTAATTATAGTAATTTTGTTTTCTGTTTTCTTTCTACATTTAAAATTCAGTAAGAATTTTGGTGAGGAGGGCCTCCCCGGTGGCGCAGCGGTTGAGCGCTGGGTTGCGAAGCTGCCCGCAGTCTCTGCAGCGCCGGTTTGATCCCCGGCCACTGGGCGAGGTTCCCACATGGCGCGCAGACCTCTCCTGCCGCCCGCTGCTACCCTCAGCAGTGTACTTCGTCACTCTGCCTGTTCTACTCTCTGCTCTGGCTCTGGTGAATTCTCTCACCCTCCCGTGCCTCTGACTGTACCCAGTGCTTGTATAAATAAATAAATAAATAAATCTTTAAAAAAACCAAAAAAAAGAATTTTGGTGACGAATCTAAATGACCCCACAATGCAATATGCATTTTAAAATAACCCCATTATTGATATGTATATTTATACATGTATATACACAGAGATATGTGTGTTTCCTAGGTAACTGTAAGAAGTAGAAATTTTCCAAGAAAATTTCCAGATTTATATATCATTGAATTTGCTCCTCCCACCCCAAAAACTATTAGTGAGACACCCCTGGGAGGGGGGGTGTCTTATTCATTTAGTCCAGCAGTTCTACTCTTTATTTCAAGTGAGAGGAAAATATCAGCACTAAGAAATATTTTATGTTTTTTGAAGCTATTCAATTCAGAATTTTTTTTTCTTTCAATCTGTGTATAAACCCCAGACTGTGCTCTGTGCTTTTCAACCATCATCAGTTATAAACACAATTCTTTTCAGATCATTGCTATTCTGAAATACTCTTTAAAATACTAGACGTGAGACAAATTATCAGGAGAGAAAGAACCTGCTGGATTGTTCTTTGGAATTTTACAAGACTAAGTTCACCCAGGATGCTAATAAAGTCTATTTTTAAAACTCTATTGTGTAAGTAGTTGTAGCAAAATTGGCTTCTCTGAGCATGTCATTTATACATATTATCTGCCTTATAAGCTCTACTTACCAGTACCTTTATAATTCTGGTAATAAGAATGTCCAAGTAATCTGTTAAAAAAATACGTAAATAATATGTAACAGACAGTTTTATAAGCAGTAAAGAAGTATTTTAAATTTAAAAGGACAGAACTGCATATGCTTTTTACTTTTCATGTTTCCATGAGACAGAATATCGTGCAAATTTTCTTCATTCTGGTTATATGCTAATGACTCCAGACTTTTTCATGAAATTTTGTACCATACTAGCAAGTATTTTCTTTAAGTCATTTTTGGTCTTACTTTCATAGCCTCCTAATCAAATTTCCACTATCAACTTCATAAAGTAGTTTGGGCTCCCGTGCTGTCCATATTTTCTTGCGCTCTTCACTTTTAATAAAGTAATTTGGGCATGGGAAATACTATCTTGTTCTTTATCGGATATAAGTTAGGTGCTGGAACTGATAAGTCGGTCTGGAATGTTTCTAATTTTGTACGAGGCCGTTTTTTCTTTTCTCAAATTAAAATGAAACATCCTTCTCCCCTTTTCCTGCAGTTTATTCAAAGACCAAGAACTCAACCATCTCCAATCAAGATCCTGAGGATCTTGCTCTTTGTCAGCCATCAGGATGTAAAGAAACAAACACTCCATCCCATCTTAAGAAGTTTTCAATCCCCCAGGTAAAATTTATGAATAATAGTAACAGTAATAATAATAATAAAAGGTGGCCCTGGGTGCTGCAGGAGCCAGGATTGTGAGCTCAATCTGGAGAGGGAGCACCTCGCAGAACTCACTTTCAGGGAGTAGCTACAGCAAGGGCGCGGAGGTACGACTCCAGGACTTCAGAGTAAGGGTCTGAGCACCCAGGACGTAACGTAAAACCTGCTCCAAATGGAATGGGTTTGTGAAGGTGTTTGTGTGTGAAGAAGACGCCGCGATCAAGGCGTCTTAACATCCACAGTCATCCGTGTCAGGCGGTTCTGCCGCCCGCGGGCACAGAGGAGGCTGGACTCGCGCGCAGGGAGCCGACCGACGGCTGGGAAGGCCTGCGAGCAGCCGCGGCCCTCGGGCCTCCCTCGGCGCCCCGGGAGCGGCGCCCCTCGCCCGACCAGTCTCCGCAGCGGCTCGCGCAGCGCCCCCGCGGGGCACCTCGACGCAGCGCGCAGGCTACCGCCGCCGTCGCCGCGCTCGGTCCGTCGCGGCACCCCCGCCCCTCAGCCTCCCGCGGCCGCCGCACTTCCCCGCCCGCCACCGCACGGGCCTCCCCTCGTCTCACTTCAGGGCGGCGGGCGGCCGCGGCGCGACCAGCTCCCACCCGCCGGGGACCGCGCCCGGGGCCGGCCGCCCGACCCCTAGCCCCAGGGCCCGCCGCCTCACCCGCCGCCGCCCTCGCCCGCGGCCTGGGCGGCCGGCTCTGCGGAAGGGCGGCCCTCCGTCCAGTCGGGGCCCGGGCCCTGGCCGGGCATCGCCTCACAGGACGCCCGCCCGCCCGCGAGCTGAGCGGGCAGCAGCCGGCCGGCTCCCCGCGGGAGCGCGCGCGCGTCAGGCAGCGGGACCGCGGCCGCAGCGGCCGCCGCCGGGTTCCAGCCCCTCCGAGACGGCCCGGACACGGCCCGAACGGCTTCGGGAGAGCGGGGCGGGCAGAGCCGCGATCCCGGGGTTCGACTGGGGGCGGGGGCGCGAGCGCCCCGGCACGTTTGTCTTTTCGCGGAGGCGAGGCGTCGCGGGCGGGAAAGACGCTGCCCCCCGCGCGGCACCCGGGCCCTCGGCGAAGGTGCGCCCACTGTGCACCGCGACTGTCAACCGCAGGTTAAACGGTCCGCCGGCCCAGGCCCAAAAGGCGCCCGGCGCAGGGAAGCCGAGTCGGCCGTTAGCCGTTATCACCAAGGTAACGCGGCGTCGCTAGAGCCGCAAGCGCTGAACCGCCCACTACTTCTGCGCGCGCGCAAACACTCCGGCCTCCCTCCGCCGCGTTTCCGCAGGACGCGGTTCACACGGGATTTGGCCCGCGGGACGCTCCGTAGCCAGGGGTGTGGCCGAACGCGACGCGAAAGGGGAATTTGCGTTGCGATTGGCTCGCGCGCCCTGTTACCGGAACTCCGCGGGCGTCGCGCGGGGGCAGCGTGGCGGGCTGACTCGGAGCGGTTCGGCGCGCCCCGCCGCTGCGGGCGCCCGAGGGGTCGACATGCCTCGGTACGCGCAGCTGGTCATGGGACCCGCGGGCAGCGGGAAGGTGAGAGTGTGGCGGGGGGAGAAAACGTCGGAGTTCGGGAGCGGCGGGGGGCGCGGGGCTTAGGGGGGCCCGGCGGGTGCGTGCACCGGGCCCCTGAGATTCGGGGCAGCGCCCTTCTGCGTCCGGGCCCGGCGTCCTTTCTGTTACTTTGAAAGAAAAGTCATGATCGTGGCTAACGTTCGCGGTGCGCTTGCGCCCCGCGTCCTGCGCGGAGGGCCTCCGCTTCTTGCCGCAGCTGTCGTCTTGCTCTCAGCTCGCGCGGAAGGGGGGACGGAACCCCGAAAGGTTAAGTCCCTTGCCCGAGGTCACTCAACTGGTGAGTGACGGCCGGAATTTGAATCCGGGATCCAGCCCTGTCTCGCTCCCAAGAAGTTACAGGAGGGTCCCTGCATCACTGCTTCTCAGCGCTTGAGACGTGGGTTTCTGGGATTGGAGGCGATTTTATTTGTTTGCTTTTTTTTCTTATTTTAATATACAAATTCTTACTTATTTTTTGAAGAAATATCGACTTATAACGTGTAGATTTGAGGGTGTACAGCCCTTTACATCCTCGTCTGTATTTGCTACCTTATGTTTTCTGACATACTTCTGTCCTTCCTCCTGGCGATTTCAGTGGCTATAGGGGCCTGGCATTAATGAACCCTGAATCATATGTAGCAAGTTGCTACCTTTTCAGTTTTCCTTCCGTTTGCATTGGTGCTAGTATATCCGCAACACTTCTTTAATGCCCCGAGTCTTTTCAGAGAGCAGATCCTTTAGAATCAAACTTTTGGCAGGCAGTTGTATTCAGCTGGTGCCGAAAGAGTTTTGAAGCGTTTAGGTTTATGGTCACCTTCAGATTGTGATAAATATAACTTTTTGTTGTTGTTGTTTATAATAGGGATGCAGGGCCTCCCGTCGTGGCGTAGCGGTTGAGCGCTGGGTTGCGAAGCTGCCCGCAGCCTCTGCAGCACCGGTTCCATCCCCGGCTGCTCCCCAGCCACCGAAGGAGGGTCTCATATGGTGCGCAGACCTCTCCTGCCGCCCGCTGCTCCCCTCAGCAGTGTACTTCGGTCCTTCTGCCTGCTCTGCTCCCCGCTCTGGCTCTGGTGAAATCTCTCACCCTCCCGCGCTTCTGACTGTACCCAATGCTTGTATAAATAAATGAATAAATCTTTTTTTTTTAAGATTTTTATTTATTTATTTTATTTATTTATACAAGCACTGGGTACAGTCAGAAGCGCGGGAGGGTGAGAGAATTCACCAGAGCCAGAGCGGGGAGCAGAGCAGGCAGAAGGACCGAAGTACACTGCTGAGGGGAGCAGCGGGCGGCAGGAGAGGTCTGCACGCCATGCGGGACCCTCCTCCTGTGGTCGGGGAGCAGCCGGGGATCCAACCGGCGCTGCAGAGGCTGCGGGCAGCTTCGCAACCCAGCGCTCAACCGCTGCGCCACCAGGGAGGCCCAAATAAATAAATCTTTAAAAAAAAATAGAGATGCAGTTTTTTCTTGTAAACATATATTTTTTCTTTTCATTTCTCTCATTGTGGGCAGGCAGAGAGTGGCTTGTCCCTGCCCCTGCTCCTGGAGACTCTTGGCACAGCCACCTGCCCTGCTGAGCCAGTCATTCTTGCTTGTAAATTAAGGGAATGATGTTTGCAACATGCAAATATAGTAGATATGGTGACAGTATTGCTCAAACAACAGAAGTGTGGGAAACACTAGAATTTCTTTGAAGATGTTGTGTGGCCTCAGATCTTAAATTAACAAACACATTGTTCCCAGGCTTGACTGATTGTGGGTGCAGGAAATACCCATGTGACTAAGACATAGCTCCTATCTACCCAGAGCCTGTAGACTATTTGAGAAGATATGTAGGTGACTTGTCATTTAAAATGCTGTGTGCTGAGTCCTGGAGGTGCAGGGATTGCAGCCTGTGGCTCTGACCCCTCCTGCCTTGTCACATTGCAGAGCACCTACTGCGCCACCATGGTCCAGCATTGTGAAGCCCTCAACCGCTCTGTCCAGGTGGTCAACCTGGATCCAGCAGCAGAGCACTTCAACTACCCTGTGATGGCTGGTGAGTACAGAGCAGAGCCTGCCCCTCCTTCAGAAAAATGAGGGGTTGGGTAGGCAGTGAGTGCTGACTGCTCAGCCTGAAAGCTGAAAAACAGGGCCTCCCTGGTGGCTCAAGGAGTTGGGCACTGCACTGTGAAGCAGTCTGCGGCCTCTATAGCACGAGTTCGATCCCTGGCCAGCCAGGGAGAGACCCAATGGAGAGGCAGACCTCCCCTGTCTCGCCCGCTGCTCCCCTCAGCAGTATATTTCAGTCAGTCTGCCTGTTCTGTTCCCCACTGTCTCTGGTGAATCCTCAAACCCTTTGCATCTCTGGCCTGTACCTCAGCTCTTGTATGCATGGATAAATAAATCTTTAAAAAAAAAAAAAAAAAAAAAAGCTGAAAAACAGACCGGTCCCCTGCTTCAATGGTAAACAGCATGAGGCTGAGTGACATGAGACATCCACTCATGTTGTGTCGTGTGCGACAGTTTCCTTTCTTAGACATTAATGCAAAAATTAAGGCTGAGGAGTCTCCTTCCTCCATCACCACCTTCCCTTCTGCCTTTCTTGCTGACTTAGTCCTGCTATGGTGAATCGGGAATACTGCTGATCATTCCATAAGTGTTTGGGTTTTAATATTATATTAGTTTATCCATTCAAATGTCTGGAACACCTATTTTATGCTAGACACCTGGGTTATAACAGATCAAGACACACCCTCCTTGCCTTCCTTCCTGTCTCCTGCCTTCCAAGCTATAAACACACATCATAGCTTGAAATAAGCACTAGATATATAATATGGATTGTGGAGAAAGATTGACAACAGGCCGAATGTTTTAAGGAAGAGCCAGTGGTTGGGCAAGTTAGATACAGGTGTGAAGTTGTGGGACATGAGCACAGAGAAGTGACTGTTAGATTTGGGTCCTTGGAATTGATGGTGACTGACTAGTGATTCAGTGGAGCCGTAGGGAGTGAAGTGGGTTGCAGAGAGTTGAAGAATGAATTGGAGGTGGTTACATGGGGGTGCTGACAGGAGACAACGGGCTGAGGAAGTTTTTCTAGAAAAGAATCAGGGCAATGGGATGTTTACTGGAGGGGGGAGTGCCAAGGGGGGTTCTGTTTCAAGATTAAAGATGGTAATTCCCGTTATGAATGTATACTCAAGTGAATGGTCCAGTAAAAAGAGAGAAACTGAAGGTCCCGGAGAGTGGAAATAACTGTAGGAGTAATCCCAAGAATGAAAAAGGAGAGGGGCTCCCTAATAGGTGTGGAGGGTGTGTCTTTGCCAAGCGTGGGGTGTTTCTTCCATTGTAACAGGAAGGCAAGGTGGAAGGCACCAGCTCACACTGGTGATAGGAATATGGAAGTGCTTTTTTTTTTTTTTTTGAAGATTTATTTTTCATTTATACAAGAGCTGGGGTACAGGCCAGAGTCACAGGAAGGTGAGAGGATTCACCAGAGACAGTGGGGAGCAGAACTGAAACACACTGCTGAGGGGAACAGCGGGAGAGACAGGAGAGGTCTGCTCCGCCATGTGGGTCAGCTACCTGGCCAGGGATTGAACGTCAGGCTGTAGTAGTGGTGATAGCACTGAGATTTAACCTCTAGGCCACCAGGGATACCCTAAGAACAAGGTTTTATGAGAGACTAGAACCCCAAACACGAAAACTCCACAGGAAAAAAGGCTGGCTTTCTGTCTGTCTGTCTTTTTCTCTCTCTTGCAGACTTTGCTCTGCTCTGGATGCAAGTGACACACCACCACCTCCCCACCCCCATGATCACATCACTTCTGGTCTAAATGTCTTACTCACTGATTAGTACCCTTGAGTCATCAGAAGATTCATTTTATTGGCCCCACTTGGGTCAGCAGTTTATCCTTGAAAAAAGATGTAGGAAGATGTAAGTTTGAATGCAAACATAAAAGCCTACAGTGATGTTATAAATACTGATTTCAAAAAAGTAGTAGTAAAAGAGACCGGAATGTCTTCAGCCTCCACTATAGGTGATTAGTTGTGTTATCTCGTGTAGTCCTTATCCTTCTCCCCCACAATATGTGGCTTCCCTGCCACCCCAATTCCTTAACTAAGGAAAGTGAGTTTCAGAGAGCTTAAGTAGCTTTCCTAGGGTCATCCTGTTTAGAAATAGATTTTTTTTTCTTAGTTTGGGTTGCTTTAATTTGCTTTAGAATAGATAATGTATATTTACATGGTTCAAAATGCAAAAGGTACCGAATTGTAAGTGTGCAGGAAAATGTCTCTCTCCCAGCTCAATGGCAGGAGATTGACTCCCCTTCGTGGAAGCAGCCACTGTTGCCCATTTTGGGGGTGTCTTTCCATAGAAACTCTGCACACAAAGTCATATTTGTGTATTATTATGTATATAGTGAATCTTTTTCTCTTTTTAAAATACAAATCATAACTTTCTTACACAGAGTTCTGCACCTTACACTTAACAATATACCTGCGAGATTGTATTATATCAGTACCTAATGAATTCTCCTTTTTTATGGCTGCACAGGATTCCATTGCCTGGCTGTACAATAGTTGAATTAGTTCCTATGGACACTGCTATAGTGAATAACCATGTACAGAGATAATAACATGCATGTGAGTTGTTCATATATAATTGTTAATGATTACTGGTGAGGATAAGAGTTTTTGAATGGATATTTTTATGTTGTGGGCTTTGTCTATCCTTTTCAGATATCCGGGAACTGATTGAGGTAGATGACGTGATGGAGGACGATTCTCTGAGGTTTGGTCCCAATGGAGGATTGGTATTTTGCATGGAGTACTTTGCCAATAATTTTGACTGGTTAGAAAACTGCCTTGGCCATGTAGAAGACGACTACATCCTTTTTGACTGTCCAGGTAAACCAGCAGTTTAAGTGTGTCAGTTTACTTGCAGTCATGATCTTAGGAGAAAAAGCAGACCATATCTAACTCTGAGCCCTACTGCAGTAAGGTACAAGACTTTTTGGTTGGCGCTAATTCATTCATTGAATTAACTGCTAACCTGGCCAACTGGGAATACCATGGAGAGTCCGGCTGCTGTTAGCTCCCACAGTCAAGTGGGAATGCTAGACAGTAAAAACAAAAATCAGCCAAATGATTATTTGACATTCACTTGTGACAGGTGTCTTACATGCGTATCACGGCCATCATTTCGAAGGGCAGTTAGGGGAGGCTTCTGATCATATGGCCTCAAAGCTGGGTTATAGAGTGAAGGTGAAGGAAATCGTTCAGGCTGAGAGCATGGCATGCTGAAGGCCTTGAAGTGGGCGTCAGGAAGACCAGTAACCAGGGGGCACTGTAGTGAGGTGAGATTGACTAGGTCTGCTTTTTAAGCCAAATTGTGGGTTTTAGACTTGAGCCTCTCTCATGCCTTCCTTCTACCACCGGGCTGTGTGGTAAAAGGACATGTTTTCTCACAAGACTTTTAGGATCAGGCAATTCCTAGCCAAACAAAACAGAATCGTCCTATTCCCCAGTGGATTTGGTTGAAAACTGGTCATAAAATCAGGTGCAATTCCAGGAGGAGACACTGGAGAAAAAGCAGGCTGGACCTGTGAGAATCACAGGGAGATGCACATGTTTATGCTGTATCCAGGTCCGTAGTATCCACCATATCACTGAAAATGTCACTGGGTGGACATGTTTTCTCCTGCTATGCGCTTGTCCCTCGTGCTGTAATAAATATGTGTGCTCTTTGAGAAGAAAAAAGATTGCCATGGCAGCAGGACCTTAGGTTTTGTGACTGCTTTGAGAGGGAGTAAGACCCCTTGCAAACCTGAGTATATTCTAGGGATACTAGAGAGTGACAGCTTTTTTTTTCCTTAGCGGAAAAGTTTTTTCCTGAAATTGATGCTTTCACTTATCTCCTGTTTGTAACAGGTCTGTAATGTTCTTCACGTAGGTCAGATTGAACTGTACACTCACCTGCCCGTCATGAAACAGCTGGTGCAGCAATTGGAACAGTGGGAGTTCCGAGTCTGTGGCGTTTTTCTCGTTGATTCTCAGTTCATGGTGGAGTCATTCAAGGTTGGAGGCTAAATCTGTTGATTATTTTCAGTTGTGAGCACAAGTAGATGACAATCTCCTTTAATTTTTTGTAATTTTGGACACTTTACAAACTACTCCAGAGTTACTTAGTGGCCCTTACTACAATATTATGATAATGTATTTTTACTCAAAAATGGTAAATTGTGACTGAAGTAAAAAATGGTTAATTATATAGATTGTGGAGGAACAACTTACCAAGAAAAGGCAGATGTGTTTTATAGAACATCTTTTGTCTAGTTGATGAACTATCTAAAACAGACTATTTCTCAAATAACTCTTGAGGAATATTTGATGGAAAAGGGGATTAAAGATCATGTCTACAGTAAGATTTCTGATTACTGTAAATTAACTCTACCTCTCTCCTTGTCCTCACCTTTGGAAAACAAGAATCGACCATCTAATTATTGGACTCTTTTCTTTAATATTAGCATTTTTTTACTCAGGCCAGTTTTGTTCCAGTGAGGAGCAGAAACCTTTTAGTCAGAGACTAAGGAACTTTGTTGGCAAAGTGGATTCACCTTCCCTTTTCTGTTTCCTCCTCCAGTTTATTTCTGGCATCTTGGCAGCCCTGAGTGCGATGATATCTCTAGAGATTCCACAAGTGAACATCATGACAAAAATGGATCTACTGAGCAAGAAAGCTAAAAAGGAAATTGAGAAGTGAGTTCACTTCTTCTGTTACCATCAACTCTCAACTGCAGAGCCGAACCTTCCAAATTTTACTTAGATAGGAGGTTCTGTCAGTGTGTGAATCAAGTTTCTGGATTTATTCACCCAGCTTTCTCATTTTTAAAGGTTTCTGGATCCAGACATGTATTCTTTACTAGATGATTCTACAAATGACTTAAGAAGCAAAAAATTCAAAAAGTTGACTCAAGCCATTTGTGGACTGGTAAGCTGTTTATGTGTTTTTTGTTTTTTAATGACCTGGTCAGGTGTTTATCTGCATCCAGCCAGGGCATGCCTCCCCCGTCTCCACCCCCCCCCCCCAGTGTAGAAAGCACTGTCTATTCTGCTTTCCTTAGGAAGAGGCAGTGAGAAACTGATCTTCAGGGGTCAGCAGTTTTAATTAAAAGTGGTTGTTGGTGGCAGCTAATAAATTAAATGACGTATCTATTATTCTGACCCATCTGGGGAATTCAGAACTGCCTGGGCCCTTTTGAAATGTCCGGTGGTCTTTGAATTCAAATAAACACCTGTGAAATAGTGTCTAGTTAAGTAATAACCAACATTTTAGTAAGTTCTAGTAGAAAAATCAATCATGATGAGCTGTTCTCTGTCCCTCCTCCCCCCACAAATGGCTTTAATCAGGAATATAAATCATTACAAACTCAGTTCTAAATCAGAAATTGAGAGTTTTGTACACTTTCAGAATGAACCTTTCTGAAACTCTTAACTCGTAGGTTGATGACTACAGCATGGTTCGGTTTTTGCCTTATGACCAGTCAGATGAAGAGAGCATGAACATCGTGCTACAGCACATTGATTTCACCATTCAGTATGGGGAAGACTTGGAATTCAAAGAACCTAAGGTAATTTTTGATATTTGGCTTTTGGTACAAATGTTTGCCAGTCCTCACTGGCCTTCTGCATAATCACAGCATCTCCTTCAATTAACTTCCTAGTCACAGTAACCTGGACTTTCCTGGGTGATCTCTGAGATTGGCCTGTGCTCCCCAATTGGCATGAAGTGGACTCTACCTTTCACGAGGACAGGATGATTGAGTTAAGAGTCTTGGTAATTACAATGCAGGAATATATGCATAGAGAAGGTCAATTCTGATTGAATGTGCACTGCCTTCTCATGTCATTAGGGGACAGTCACGACAAGTTAGTTGACGAGGGTCATGAGTGTCAACTCAAGTAAGAAAAGCTTCTAATGATCTGGGTGGTAAATTAAAGAGGTTCTATCTGGAACATTCTATCCATCACATCTTATCACTATTAACCATTACCTATGAGCAACACCTGGAACCACTGCCCGATATTAGCACCGGAATGGATATTGCCCGAAAGACAGGTAAACCCATATGAAGTCTAACCAGGGGGGAAAAAATGGGTTTTCTATTTTGTGTTTCCTTTATGTCAGGAACATGAAGATGAATCATCTTCCATGTTTGATGAGTATTTTCAAGAGCGTCAGAATGAATGAAGAGTGTATTAAAAAGGAACTGTGTCTGTGTGAAGACCCATGACTGAGTCAGCAGAACACTCTTTGAAGTACACAGAGCTGGGAAGCTGCTTGTTTTATAAACAAAAATAATACTTGGCTGTTTGTCTGCAGCGGGCCTGAATCAAGGGTTGAGGTTTTCTGAAACTGCTGCTGCAATGGAATCTTAGTATTCTATTTTAACAACATCAATTTAGATTTTAAAAGTTGAAATCGCAATGAACGCTCATGGTTTTGTACATAATCTAAATTAGCACCTGTGGTCAGTTAAGACCGGTGTAACTTCATTTTGCGGTTTGATTTTTCTTTCTTTTTTCTTTTCTTTTTTTTTTTTTTAAGACATTTGAGGGTCAGGAGTAACTGTAACAGAATATACATATGTGTCTCCAAAGGCAAAAACCTGGAAGAATTCAGATAAGACCATACTTTATTTGTATCTTCCAGTTTTCCTACACTGAAGAGGTATTAGTTGTATCACTAAAAATTAAAAGTAACTTTATGTTGTAAGATATCTATGTGTGTGTTAGAGATGTAAATACAGAGGGAAGCACTAGCTTTTCATTACACTCTGGCTGGCATGAACTCGTGCGGTAGCTTGACAGCGCAGTCTTTAACCCCTGCGCCACCAGGGAGTCCCTGTTACCTCCATTTTCAAGTAAGGAAATGGGCGCCGTGAGGTAAAATTGCCGGGAATGACCGTGCTAGTAAATGGTGGAATCTGGATTCAAAGCTACGATCCACTTTCCCAACCTTAAGGAAGGGTCGCTGTAGAGAATGAAGCCCAAATCCCTTCTCCCTGTGTTTTCTTAAACTATGCTTAAAACCAGTGGCTTAGGTTCACTCATTACCCAACAAATATCTGGATGCTTACTATGCAGTATAAACAAAAAGGACAAAAATCTCTTTCACACTGCTAGGGAGGGACACCAAATGAAAACTGAACAATAAAAATCAGAATGAAGAGGGAGAGGAAGGGAGGCAGGGAGCGGCGTGGGGAATACTTTCCTGAAGAGGGGATCTTGGGGGGGTGAAACAAAGGAGTTGATTCACCCTGGGAATCTTAGGCCTAAGACGCGCCTCCATTTCACGCACGACGCACGCATGCGCGGCACTAGAGCCCGCCTAGTGCTCTGGCGGCCCGCGGGGCCGCGGCGGCAGGGCAGCAAGGCCGGAAGCGCTGCGCCCGCCCCTTCCGGCTCACTTCCGCCTACCCCGCCCGAGCCGCCAGGCGGAAGCGCCCGCTCGCCCCGACCAGCCCCTCGGCTAACACCAGGACGCCGCCAGAATGCCGGTAAGGGGGCTGCGCTGGGGTGAGGGAAGGAATTGGGGAGAGACGAGAGAAATCGTGTATTCGCCGGAAGAGGCGGGTCGAGGAGGCCAGCGAGGAAGTGGGGGGTCCGCGGGAAGAGAGGCGAGGGGGAGGGGGTCGGTTCTTGGCAGGTTGGGGCGACCGGGGGTGTCGGCCGGGAGGCGCGGTGGGGTGGGCAGGGCGCGAGGAGACCCGGCGCGTGTCTGGCAGGCCGCTCCAGCCCCTTCCGCCCCGTCTTCCTCAGTCCTGACCCCTCCTCGCCCTTCTGCATCCCCAGCTTGGGCAGGGTCCCCAAAGCCTCACTGGAGCCGCGAAGCCAAGGGCTGCACTTTTTATTTTTTAATTTTTCAAGTCCGGGGTCCAGCTTCTTCTTGCCTGCCCACTTCCTCTTCTGGGGGCGAGGACTTGTTCCGCCCGCTGCTTGTCGTCGGCTCCTCCCCTGTCACCCCGGCAGTGGTGGCCACCGCGAGCCGCAAGGTTTAGGGGCCCCAGAGTCCACGCAGTGTCTGCGCCTCGTTTCCAAATGTTCCTGTTTTCACGAACCTCAGAGTAGGAATGAAATTGACAGTGGTCTGGTTGCCCTTAATTTCGGCTGCCGGTGTGTGAAGTAGATTCATCGCCAGCCTGGTTTGCATTTTGCACATGAGAAAGGAGGTTCAGTGTTGTTCCTACAGCAAACATTACCGAGCACCTGCTCATGAAAAGCACTGTTAGGCAGTGAATAAGGCCAGTGAGGGCCTTTACCGTCTAAGGAGGAGGCAGTCAACAAACCTGTAAATGTAAACTAGGCGATAGTTTCAGAAAGTGACAGATGCTGGGTAATAGATGGATAACAAGACAGTAGCTGGCTAAGGGAGAAGCAGCCCACCCTTATATATTGGACTTAGACACACACACACACACACACACACCTGTATGAGATATATATCACATATATATGATAGGTATTTATGAACCCAGTAGCTATCATTTGACTCAATGTATGCCAAACAGACTCTGAGCTGTATACTTTATTTATAAATTATCACGTGTAGTCCTCACAGAGTGACCCTATGAAGTGATATGTTATTGTTCTCATTTTGCAGAGAAGAAAGCTGAGGCTTAGAAAGCCAGGGTTGCACACAGTGTAAAGCCAGATTTTAAGCCAGCATGCTAAGGTCTGCTTGATCCAGTTGCACTTAGAACGTCTTGGTCTTCCCTTCTGTTTACTTATTTAATAACTGCTTTTTCCATTAGCCTGAAAGTTCTTCAAGGGCAGGGATCACTGGTGTATACCACTGTATCATCTTGCTTTCCACTGAGAAGGTGCTTAGTAATTGTAGGGTGGGTAAATGAACATAAGAATGGAAACTGTTGTTTGAGAAAAAACCAGACATCTTGTAAAAAGCAGAACTAAGAAGCAGCATACAAATTGCTCTTATAAATGTGTTTATTTCTCCTCCTTTAACTCACATCTACCCACTAGAGGCAGTACATATCGCTTCACTTTACAAATTTGGAAACAGAGAGAACACAAGTGATGTCTACATCCAGTCTGGTTTAGCACCAGCTGGGAACTGGGTTCCCCTTATTTATATATGTTTGCTGATTTCTTACAGTGTAAATACCCCCACCAGTTACCAATGTCACTGAGCACAGAACTTGAAGAGATGCACAGTAGCTCCCCAATGTATTTCCCCCATAGATGCCAATAACAACCTTAAGAACATAGACAATAGAAATAATTTTTTTCAATAGGAGTAATGAGTTTGGAATATTTAGTTTTTAATATATAGTTTACTTAGTTGCAAGTTGATTTAATTTTTAATAACAGCTGTGTTCAGTAGCCAGCTTGCCTCACAATTCTTCATGAGTCTCCAGAGCCAACTCCATCATATCCTTGTCACATTTCCTCTGGGAATGGGTGGCCCTGAGCTGTGTACTTACATACTTAGTGTCGGGTGGGTTACTCTTTGATTTCATTTGGGAAACAAACTGGTCTTCCCCACTGATATTTGCTCTCTTTCATTTCCATATTCTTACCTACAGGCTTATCACTCTTCTCTCATGGACCCCGAAACCAGACTGATTGGCAACATGGCACTTTTGCCTATCAGGAGTCAGTTCAAAGGACCTGCCCCTAGAGAGAGTAAGTCAAAGGCCCTTTCCGATATTTTGAATGTATTTATTATTTTACATTTTAAAAAGGGGGAAAGAAGACTTTTAAACAGACATCAGTGGGCAGAAAGAGGTGCCTGTGAAAGGGACAGGTTTGTTGGAAGAGATGCCTGCATAGACCCAGGCAGACAGTTTTTGGATGAAAACTGCTATTTTTGGATGTGCGTTAGTGTGATATAGTACCAGGCAATCCTCTGACATCAAAATAGGAAAAGTTTTAGCTCAATCCTCTGCCTCAAATTACTATGCATTTTCTACTTCTTGGTGGATATTGTATTCTAGACCTTTCAAGATCCTTGGTGTATGTTGCACCTAATAGGAAACTGGATTATTGCTGCTAATACCTCTAGGATATTTTATTTTTAAAGGGTTGTTTTTTTTTGTTTTTTTGTTTTTTGCATAGACGAACTGGGGTGTAGACCAGAGGTGTGGGGGAGGAAATGGGAGGATAGGTGAGAGGATTCACCAGAGACAGAATGGGGAGTAGAACAGGCGGATCTACTGAAATACACTGCTGAGGGGAGCAGCAGGCAAGGCAGGAGAGGTTTGCTGAACCATATGTGGATTAGCTCCCTGGCCAGGGATCAAACTCAGGTCGAAGTAGGGATAGCCCTGAGACTTAACCTCTAGGCCACCCGGGAGGCCATCTAGGATATTTTATTGACAGGGAAGGGGAGATGTTCGTAATTTTCAACACTGTTCCTATCAGTATCAATTCTTTCAAACTGATGGAATGCTACTCCTTTCTCTGTGGTCAAGCTGCAAAAGAGAAAATATTTTAACCTCTTTACTGTCTAAATCTACTTTACCCATTCTGCAGGATCTTAACTTTAGCAATACCACCTACTAAGGGTTATGTGTCCTACATATTGTTACTCATTTCTTTGCTTTTCTGAATTTTACATCTTTGCTCTCTTTCTAAGTAGTCACTCCCCCCCCGACCCCACCCCACATTTTGCACTCAAGAGAAAGCCTCATTCTTTTCAGAGACTATCTTAGACTCTTCTGCCACATTCTGAGATGTCGGCCAGCTGTGTCATTTGTACCCAGAAAGGGTTTGGCACCGAGTTACATTCATGATTTCTGAGACCAAGGTCATAATTGCCAATTCTGTAATGACCCCATCTCCGTTTCTCTGCCAGACTATTTAATTTCATGTCTTCTTGATTTAATTTGTTTTCAACACCATTTGAAAGCCCAGTAAACTTAATAAATTTAGTCACTACAGTCTGTACTTGATTCTGAGATGAAGAAAAGGCACAGATGGAAACAGACCAACCTGAAAAGAAGAAAAATAATGGAATTGCAGTGCAAAAGAAAAACAAGAATCAGCTTTGGCCCAGACTTTTCTTGATAAATATCCCATTGAGGTCATTACAAAGCACCATATTGTGCATCAGGAGAAGTGATTGATCAAGGATGGAATGAATCTAATTATCACCCTTGCAGTTCTTATGCCCGAGTGGGCGAACGGGACTCTCTGAACTCAGATCCTCCTGGTTTCTCTAAACAAGGAATGACTTCTTGTTCTTCCCAGGAAGCTGGGTTAGAGCTGAATTGGAATTATGAAGGGCTGGAAGCCTATTCTGTGAGCTAAATCGTTAGCATTAGTCAAATGAGTGCGTTTACATCCAACTACTATCTTCTGGACATCTCTTTTCACGTGACAAGCACTCCTCTGGGTTCTGAGTCCTTTAACTCCACCACACCTGACAGCATTCCGTTTAGAACTAGCTGGGTTTTATAATTGTTACTGAATTCTCAGAGGAAGTTTCCTTTATGCAGATAAGAAAATAGATGGCAAGGGATACAAGGCTAGAGTTAGAATTCTGTGGAAACTCTCTTTCAGGGCAATGAGTGAGAATAAGACAAGCCAGTCATAGAGCAGTAGAGCTCCAGGGCTCCTTTGCGTCTCTGGGAGAAAGATAGCAGTTGTGGACAAGAAATATAAATAACTGCCTCTGCATTGCTGAAACCAGCTGCCGGATATCAGGACCCTGGGATTTTGACCTTTTTAAAATTAAAAAAAGGACAACAAAAAATCACCAAGGAAATTGTATAATGAGATCCGTCTTTGTCACAGCAGTGTTTCTGGCTTTTCTCAGCCTCAGGCTACATAGAACAGCTTGTACAAGTATATTTTAAGTCATAATTTTTATAAAAAAGACATGTGTGAACCCCGTTGTGTTCCAAGATGACAACTGAGTTTTCCCCTTAAACTATAATAAGCTGGGGCCTCCCTTGTGGCGCAGGGGTTAAGACGCAACCTGTGAAGCTCACCACAGCCACTACAGCACAAGTTCTATCCCCGGTCAGGGAGGTGAGCCACATGGTGCAGCAGATGTCTCCGGACACGCCTGCTGCTCCCCTCAGCAGTGTATTTCAGTCTGTCTGCCTGTTCTGTTCCCCACTCTGTCTCTGGCGAATCCTTTCACCCCCCTCAAAACTCTGGCCTGTTCTTGTATGTATAAGTAAATAAATCTTAAAAAAAAAACTATAATAAGCTAATTCAAATAAAATTA